TCGATTGCACTGTGCGAAAAAAAGAATATAAAAATATTGTGACCAGAAAAACAAATAAAAATTAATTATACAAATAATAAGCGAACGCTAACGAATATCGAAGCGGGTTCGAACGTGTGACTCCGTGGCGCAACGGTAGCGCGTCTGACTCCAGATCAGAAGGTTGCGTGTTCGAATCACGTCGGGGTCAAAGTCGCTTTTTGGTCGATTTTATGGTAGAAAATGTTATTTTAGGGCAAGTAAATGTTTTTACTGGTCTTTCTACATCTTTTTTAGCAATTTTTATATGTTTTAGTACCTCATTTTGCAACTATTCCACAATTTTCACCAATATTTTGGTCGATTTTTTGGTGGAAAAAACTGAAAAGGTATTTTAAAATACGTTTACGGTTGTTACAATCTTTTTTTGAAAGTAATGGGAATCTAAAACCAAAAAAATATTTTTTAAAATTTCCAAAAATTTAAAAAAAATAAAAAAACAAAAAATTTTGATTGATTTTTTGTAAAAAAATGGTCATTTTAAAATACGTAGTTGTGAAACTGCACTGTTTTTCATGACGTAATATGTATACTTTTTTCCGATCACCATAAAAATGTCTCAATTACAGCCGTTTACAACGGCCCTTCGTTCCGGAATTCTCAGCCAAACACGAATTACATAATTCCGAAAAACGGAGGAAAAATGGGCGAAAAATATAATGGCGCAATCAAATTTATGACTCTCACTCGGAACCTACCGTAATGCGCAATATGATCGGGAGTTTTTTGAAAATTTCGATACAGTAGGGGGTGAAAACGTAAAGTTTCTTTGGGAAAAAAGATTTTTTATTACTGTAGAATGCTACTGTAAAGCTTCAAATTATAAAAAAAATTGAAATTTGAAATTTTAAAATTTTAAAAAATGACGTCACTAAATTCGTATATGCCCGGAGGCGCATAAACAATAAAAATTTTAAAAAATTGGGTCATTTCATTGCTAAATTTCTAAATTTTAATTACCAAATTCAAATTTTAAATTTCCAAAAATTTGCATATTCAAATTTTCAAATTTTTCCAAATTTAAATTTCCTGTCTCAAATCCTTTTTTTCCCAAGGTAAACATCCAAAAAATTGTCGGTGCCACTTGACTGACGTCCCGCACGGATCGCTTTTCGGAATGTGATTACACGCTTTTATAAGGACGTCTTTTCTTTTCGGGGAAGGGGAAATAAATCTGAATGTTTTATTTGATCTATTCCCACTTTCAGTTCAAGGTTAGCAAATTATTCCGAGTCTCGAAAAACGAGCCAGAATTGAAGGGGGAATTGAATGTTAATCGATGGAATTTTTATAGGGCTTTATAAGAAAAAGTGGCTAGAAATGATACCTAAATATCGTTAAATTTTTTTATTCTGAGCGCATTTTTTAAAAATTTTTTTAAATTTTAAATTTTTGGGTTTTTTATGGATATTTTTTTTGGGATTTTTTGATTTTTTTTAGATTATTTTTTATTTTTATTTTTTTTTTTTTTTTTTGATTTTTTCCATTTTTCTGATTTTTCCGAACCTTTTCACTATTTTTATAAGGAGAAAAATTAAATGCCGAAAACTTACTGGCGTATACATTTTTTTTAAATTTCATTTTTTCATATTTCCTTACACTTTTTCTCTCTGTTTTCCCTGTTGCCCTCTCAATTTCTAAAAAAAATTTTTTTTGACTGTTTTGTTGTTTGTATAGTGAAGTCGCTGTGATAATTTTTGGCGTTTCTTTGTAAATTTTCTAACAAGTTTTTAAAAATGACGTTTTTCTCAAAAAATTTTTTTGAACTCCGCTTTCAAACTTATCTTCCCTATGTATTGTTTCTCCCACAAAAATTTATTGAATCATTTTCTGATTCTCTTTCTGACCCCGATCACGAGATTCCATATTTTCTTGACATTGTTTCCCCTCAAAAAAGTCTCTTGATTAATTTTGCTAATTATTCCTCCGGTTTTAATCAATTTTTTCTACCCTTTGCAGTCATTAACCAGTAGAACTACTTGATTAAAACTGACCTTGGCTATTGTAAAATCGAAAAATTTAGAAAAATTTGTTGATTGAGGGTTACGTTTTTTTGATTTTTTGTTGGAATTTTTGGGTTATTTATGGAGATTTTTTTGGGATTTTTTGATTTTAAAAAATTTTTTTTTTTTTTTGATTTTTCCAATTTTCTGATTTTTCACTATTTTTTTATTTTTTTTTATTTTTTGTAAATAAAAAATATTTTTTTTTTCGATTTTTTGAAAAATTATTTCCAAAAAATCTCAATTTTTCATTTTTTCTTACACTTTTTCTCTCTATTTTCCCTCTTACTCTCTCAATTTCTAAAAATCTTTTTTCTGAGCCTTCTAACAAAAGCAGATTGTTTGGACTCATCACAGACAGGCTGAGTCAGAAGAAAAGTGAAGCCGAGAGGCTCAACCTTTTGCGGCGTGAAGTTGTGAGTAAGAAAGGGGGACAAAGGCAAGTTATTACTTGTATCGTAACCCGGGAAAAGTTAGAGCTAGAAAAAATTTACCATTTTTTTTTGATTTTTCAATTTTTTTGTTGCACTGTGCACAGCGATTTTTAGCCTACTTTTTGGACTGCACAGTGCAAAGCAATTTTTAGCCTATATTCTGAATTGCACTGTGCAAAGCAATTTTTGATTTATTTTTCAGACTGCACTGTGCAAAGCGATTTTTGGCTTGTTTTTTGGACTGCACTGTGCGATGCGATTTTTAGCCTATTTTCAGGGCTGCACTGTGCGAAGCAATTTTTGGCTTATTTTTTGGACCGCACCGTGCAAAGCAATTTTTAGCCTATCTTTCGGACTGCACTGTGCAAAGCAATTTTTAGCTTATTTTTTGGACTGCACTGTGCGATGCGATTTTTAGCCTATTTTCAGGGCTGCACTGTGCAAAGCGATTTTTATCCTATTTTCAGGGCTGCACTGTGCAAGGCAATTTTTAGCCTATTTTCTGAACTGCACTGTGCGATACGATTTTTAGCCTATTTTTCGGATTGCACTGTACGGTAAAAAAAATAAATGATGGGATTTGAAAAATTTGCGTATTTTAACGATTAAAAAAATAAATTAAAATCCAACCTCGAAATTTTTACCTGACCTTTCTCTTTTTCCCCGGACAAAATGCATTTCCAACGTTTTTCAAAACCAAAATTGGAGCGAACGACTATGTAGATGCGAAACTTTTTTTGTTCGCTTTGTGGCGATGGAACAGTCATAATGTGAACACACAACTTTCCACAAAAGGAAAATGTTCCTCTCTTTTATGGTAGTATTTAGCGACCGCGCTTTTGACAGTTTATGGGTGAAGAAAAGTTGAGAAAAAAGGTGGGGGGTTACGGTAGCTGGGGGTAGTAGAAGTTTGAAAAATAGTTTTTGGTGATGTTAAAATGAATTTTAAAAATTTTTAAGGGAAAATTGGGATTAATAAAAAAAAATTTTTTTTATTTTTTTATTTTTTTTTGATTTTTCAGATAAAATAGACGCAACATGTAAAAAAACTACACGTATTTTACCCTATTCTATTTTTATTTGCTTATTGCGCGTTTTAAAATATTAAAAAAATATTTGTTTTTCTTGATTTTTATCAAAAAAGTCGGAAATTTTTAAATTTTTTAAAAATTTTTCATATCAGAAAACCTTTTATCTGGTCGTATATTAGTCCACCAGACTTTGAATTTACCTATTTCAACCTCCAAATCCCCCAATTTCCCTCGAATCCCTCGATTTTTCCCAACATTTTCCGTTTGCACAGTGCGCTCATCCAAATCAAGCCCAAACAGTCGAATTAAAGCCCCAAAACACCTTATTATTTGCCGTCGTGTTGTGCGATGGCGCGTGAAACGATGTCGCAGTCTTTTCAAAGTTTTTTTTTTGCTTTGAGGAAATCGATCAGTCCCCACTTCCGTTTGCCATTCCCCGGCCCGCCTGATTGGGTATTTGAGGAAAAAATTAAGACAAAAAAGGCAGATGGAGAGGGCTGATGGGGAAGGCAGAAGGTGTTTTGGAGACTGTAGTTCATGTTTGTGGGCTGGGGAGGCGAAAATAAATGAAAATTGAAATTTTTTGAATTTGCGATTTTTTGAAATTTTTTGATTTTTCGCACTGTGCGGTGATTTTTTTTTTAAATTTTTTTCCGGAGGCAATTATTAGGCCTTGAAAGTCGCTGCGATAACTTTTGGCGTTTGCACTGTGCGAAAAAAGTCAGGGTGCGAGCGACGCCCAAAAAAGCCTTTTGCACGGTGCAAAAAATAGAAAATTGCACAGTGCAAAGTGAACTTTTGTTTTCGCACAGTGCATGTCGCTGGACTGATTTTTGGCGTTTGCACTGTGCGAAAAAAATCAGGGTGCGAGCGACAGCCCAAAAAAGCCTTTTGCACAGTGCGAAAACCAACAAATTGCACAGTGCAAAGAGAACTTTTGTTTTCGCACAATGCACGTCGCTGGACTGATTTTTCTCGTTTGCACTGTGCGAAAAAAGTCAGGGTGCGAGCGACAGCCCAAAAAAGCCGACTGCACAGTGCAAAAAGCAAAAAATTGCACGGTGCAAAAAGAACTTTTGTTTTCGCACAGTGCGCTGCAAAAAACAAGAATGAAATCGGCGACACGCACTGTGCGAAAACAAAACTTTTCTCTGCACTGTGCAATTTTTTGCTTTTCGCACCGTGCAGGTTTTTTTGGGCTTTCGCTCGCACCGTGATTTTTTTCGCACAGTGCAAACGTTAAAAATCAGTCTGGTGACTTTCAGGAAGGCCTAGTGTAACGCATAATGATCTAAAAATCCAAAATTTTACAACTTTTTTGATATTTTGATATTTTTTTTTGATTTTTCGATTTTTTGCATTTTTTCGTGATTTTTCGTTCAATTTTTTTTCGAAACTATAGAATTCTCATTCAGATCCGTATTTTACAGCCTCGGCAATCTCATTCTGGTCCAAAAAATCTCATATTTTCCAATTTTCAATATCTTTTTCAAATGATGACTGCGTCGCCTCCGGCCAATCAAACGCCAAAACCGAGTGTAGAAAATATTTGTGCGGATCTTCAGAAAATCGCGTATGCTAAGTAAGTCTTTTTGAAACTAAAAAAAATATTTAAAAAAAAAAAAATTTACTCAGAAAATTCAATTATTTTTTACTTTTTTTCAGGTCAAAATTGGATGATCTCAGAATGAAACAGTCAGAATTTGTCTCGGAAAACGCGGATTACCAAGAAACCGAGGAATTTATCGAAAAGGCACAGAAAATGATCAGCGATTTGAACAAGGAGAGGGATAGTCATTCCGAGATCATTCAGCAGATCAATCAGGTGGGTTTCAGTTGTCGCAATGGTCAATTTTTTCCAAAATTAACTTCAATTTTTTGATCCCATAGGATTTTTTTGTAGAGAAATTTGACTGTATCCTATGGTTGTGTCCGAACAGTGCACCTGAAACAAACAGTGCACCTGGCTGAACGGGGCACCTGAGCGAACGGTGCACCTGACACATTTTGAACTGTGCACCTGGGCGAACGGTGCACCTGGGTGAACAGTGCACCTGGGCGAACTTCGGGACTGGGAAAAGGATTTTTCATGAACAATTGAACAAAAATTGAAAGGTTTTCGCTTCGAGACAGGGAAAAAGGATTTTTTTGGAAAATTTTAATAAAATTTGAAATGTTTTCGCTTCGGGACAGGGAAAAAGGAGTTTTTTGGAAAATTTTTTAAAATTTTGAAAGGTTTTCGCTTCGAGACAGGGAAAAAGGATTTTTTTTGGAAAATTTTAATAAAATGTGAAAGGTTTTCGCTTCGGGACAGGGAAAAAGGAGTTTTTTGGAAAATTTTAACAAAATTTGAAAGGTTTTCGTTTCGGGACTGGGAAAAAAGAATTTTTTGTAAATAATTTTTATAAAAATTGAATTGTTTTCGCTTCGGGACAAGGGAAAAAATTGTTTGGAAAATTTTGCCAAAATTTGAAATGTTTTCGTTTCGGGTTTGGGAAAAAAAGTTTTTTGTAAAATTTTAATAAAATTTGAAATGTTTTCGCTTCGGGATAAATATGGCAAGGGTAGATCAAGGCAAATTCTTTTGACGGATTTTTTTATATGACAAATGGGGATCAAGGTAAGCCGTTTTTACTGATTTCTTTGTTTGTGAAAAGCTAGATATGAAAGGGGAGATCAAGGCAACTTGTTCTGACTAATTTTTCGTCTGTGAAAAAAATGTTATTCCAATAGGGCTGTTGCCGGTGCGCCACAAAAATACGAACAGAACCTAGAAAACCTAAAAATAATCAGATGTAAGTGTAGTTCTTTCGTTTCTTACCGTTTTACTTTCTCCATGGGAAACACGATGCTTAGTCCCTGCTTTTCAAGATCACGCGCTATTAACTCAATGAATTTGTTGAGCGTTGTACTTGAGCTTAAGATGGCATTCCATCCATTATGTTGCCCCTCATTTACCTTTTTACAAACAAAAAATTGTCAAAAAAAGCTTACCTTGATCTCCCCTTGTCATATTTAGTTTTTCACAATGAAAAAAAATGATAAAAACGGCTTACCTTGATCCCCCCTTGTCATATTTATCTTTTCACACACAAAAAAATCACTCAAAAAACTCGCTTTGATCTCCATTGTCATATTTACCTTTTCACAAAGAAAAAATGGGTTTTTTCCTTTTCCGAAGCGAAAACTTTTCAAATTCTTTTCAATTATACACAAAAATTCCTTTTTCCCTGTCCCGAAGCGAAAACCTTTGAAATTTTTTTAAAAATTTCCGAAAAAATCCTTTTTCCCTGTCTCGAAGCGAAAACCTTTCAAATTTTATTCAAATTTTCCAAAAAAATTCTTTTTCCCAGTCCCGAAGCGAAAACCTTTCAAATTTTTTAAAAAATTTTCAAAAAATTCTTTTTCCCAGTCCCGAAGCGAAAACCTTTCAAATTTTTTAAAAAATTTTCAAAAAATTCTTTTTCCCTGTCCCGAAGCGAAAACCTTTCAAATTTTTTAAAAAATTTTCAAAAAAAATCCTTTTTCGTTGTCCCGAAACGAAAACCTTTCAAATTTTCTTCAATAATGCACAAAAAAACTTTTTTTCAAGGTGCACCATTCGCCTAGGTGCACTGTTCAAACAAGAAAATGTCAGGTTTTGGCGTTTGCACTGTGCAGAAAAAGATAGGGTGCGAGCGACAGCCCAAAAAAGTCATTTGCACGGTGCAAAAAATCAAAAAATTGCACAGTGCAAGAAAAAATGTTTTCGCACAGTGCATGTCGCTGGAGTGATTTTTGGCGTCTGCACTGTGCAGAAAAAATCAGGGTGCGAGCGACAGCCCAAAAAAGTCATTTGCACGGTGCAAAAAATCAAAAAATTGCACAGTGCAAGAAAAAATGTTTTCGCACAGTGCATGTCGCCGATTTCATTCTTGCTTTTTGCACCGCACTGTGCGAAAACAAAAGTTGTGCAAAAAATATCGCACGGTGCAAAAAATCAAAAAATTGCACAGTGCAAAGTGAACTTTTGTTTTCGCACAGTGCATATCGCCGAAATCACTCCAGCGACGAATGAAAACAAAAAATTTTTTGCTTTATCAGTCTGTCGGGAAAATAATGAACACTCTGTCGTTGAGCCAATCGCGTCACTGAAGCGAAAATAAATTTGATTTTTCCGCGACACAATTCATTTTCTCGATGCGATTTTCGATGCGACAGAGTGCTCATTATTTTCCCGACAGACTTCTGACAAATTTTTTTTTATTTTGCTTCTGAATTTTCTCTATAATATTGAAAATTTCACTTAAAGTCTTCTAAATCTTGGCTCTTTTTCGATGATGTTTGGCAAGTCTAGTCTCAAATCTTTGTTGAGCTCATTAGCAAGTCTTAATCTTCACTTGAGAAAATTTCCATCAACATGCATGCGTTGCTGTTTGAGCATTTCCCGACATTTTGCATTCTCTTCCTTGTTTTCCCCGCAAAACTTAACGAAAACCTTTTAGAATTAGGATTCCCCAAGCCGCATTACAATTTCAAAAAGAAACCCTCTAAATGAAAGCCGCTTTGCGTAAGTCATAATGCTGGTTGTGCCGGAAAAGGCCTCAAAGTTGTCGCGTCTAATGCGGGGCCAGGCGCTGCAGAAAGCAGTTTATGTGGGTGAATTTAACAAAAGACCCTTAAAACATTGCGTGTTCGTGCGCTCGGCTTCATCTGTTAATGGTTTCTGAATCGTCGAAATTGCTTTTCGGGGGGGGGGGGGGCCCGCGGAAAAGAATTAAGCTGATAAAGGTGGGGAGAAAGCGCGAGAAAAGGCGCCTATTGTAATATTGTGGCAAACAGAATTATTCTGTTTTGCAATGAACTGAAATACGATTGACCCCACCGGAAAGACATAAGTTGCTTTCAGCAGAGAGGAAAATACTGGCAAAATTTTGCACGAAAGGAACGAAAAATTGATTTGTTGTTAAGGTTCTCAATTTGACAGAGTTTTTTTAAATGACGTCAAGTTGCCGTCATTTTGGCTGACAGAAGAAGTACCACAAGTGGGACGCTCAGATTTTGATGAAACTTGGCGCAAATTTAAAATATTTTTTTTAAAGATATATGCGAGAATCGTAGCTCGCGCTTTGCAGAAGCAATTGAAATTTTGAGATCGAAAGTCGGCGAAAATTTAAGATTTTTTGATGGCAAAGATCATTCAATATCTCGGCGGCACCGGAAAAGCGCGAGCTACAACTTTCAGGAATTGAAATTCGGTTCATGCCCGACGTGTGTGCAAAATTTACAGAAAATCAGAGCATCACACTTGGGGTACCTCTCTTGTAAGTTGAAAATTCAGATATACCGAGCTTTCACACGCGAGCTTAGCATCGACTAAAATGCATGCCCTCAATATTACTCATAACTAATAGTTTGCCTGCTAATTTCATGGGTCGTTTTGACAAGAAGGACAAACCCTATTCGTTATTAGAAAGGTCTTGTTGTATGGAAATTTTTTCCCTAAAATCAAGTCCTTAGATTGCCCACCATCAGCAGGTTTTGTGGTATGGCAACCCGCGGTGCAGAAGTTCCACTGCTTCAAGATTCATTTTGCACGGGACTCACTGAACGGCAATCCGAAGGCAATTCAAAATAAATAAAAGTCCGTCCAGAAAGTCGCTGGGATAAAATTGGCGACATTTTCGAAAATAATGAGCACTCTGCCGCGTCAAAAATCGCATCGTCGCCGAGAAAACGAATTGTGTCGTAGCAAAAGCAAATTGCATTTCACTTCTGAGACGCGGTTGGTGCGGCGAAATTGTGCCCGTCATCTTTCCGACTGGCTGATAGTAAAAGAAAAAAGTTTTCCCCCAAGAACCCTAAGCGCCTCACAATTACGCTCTCAATGCAAAGAGGAAAGTAAAAATCAAAAAGCTTTTTGAGGACCATAAAGAAGATATGGACCTCAATCCGGACCTTGGACCGTCAAGGCCCGGATTGAGCCAGCCCTGTGAAAAATAGACCAGTCTTGAATTTTTTGCAGCCCACATGTTTGTAATCTGCATCGTGCAAAAATCTTATACATGCTCCTCTATCCCTGTAAACCGAGGCCCAAACGTGAGAAACACAAAAGAATCTGTATTTCAAAATTTCCTCAGGAAAAGCCTTTTGCAATGCTATTTATCTTCTTTTGTGTTGCGATTACAAAAGTATGCGGTCTCTCAAAAAAATTACAATTACAATTAGCAGTGTACGACTATGGATGTTAAGATGGGAAATAGGATTAGCGCACTGATCTCTCTGCGGGCACAAAAACAAACTGCGAAACAAGGAGTGGCTTGTTTTTTTATAAGTTCAGTTTTCGCTTCGTGAACATGTTCTACGGCGGGATTATTGTGGAAAAGTTATAGATCGGACCGTTTCTAAAGTCATTACCATGATTTTGACTCAAGGTTTTATAACTGGATGAGATTTTTTCAATTTTTTTGCATTGCACAGTGCAAGCTCTGTTTTAGCCTATTTTTTGCATTGCACAGTGCGAATTTTTCAAAAACGAAAAATTGGCGGTGAAACATTTTTATAATAAAAGTATACGCGGTCATAGTTCTGTACGACAGGCTTTTTTATAGCGAAACTTCTCTATAACTAACGGTTTCAGAGATTATAAACCAAGATTTTGGGCCAAAGTAAACATTTGTACAACGAAACCCCACTAAAACGAATTCAATTATGTTTTTAGTCCCTTGCGATTCCTTCTATGTTTAGAGGTATAAACGAATGGTCGGCTACTCTTCTTTTATATGTATTTTACTCAAATATTATTATATTACCCGAAATTTTGATAAATCTCGATTTCAATCTTTTGCTTTCGCTAAAAATCCCGTTTCCAGGACAAAATCGCGATGCAGAAAATCATCGACTCGGCAAAAACCGAACAGTCGGCTAGTGAAAATGAACTGACGCAACGATATGGATTGGTCTGTCGGATCGTCGAGGAATCCAAACGCTTTTTCAAAGAGCTTGGCCTCAACGAAGAGCCTTTTGATGTCAAGGAGCTGATCCCTCAGACTTCAGTTTCATTGTAAGTCACTTTAAAATTTTATTGCGTACCGCAAGGCCATTTTTGGTCATTGCGGAGAAATTTATTTTGATTAGTTTTTTCGCGCTGTGTAGAAGATTATTTTGACCGCATTGTGCGGTAAATAGAGATTTTTCTTGTGAAATTTTGATGGGGTGGACCAGTACTACCTAAACAAAAATTTGAAGAGGGCAGTTTGTTGTTTCCTGATTGCACAGTGCAGTAAAGTGTAAAATGAATTTCTGCACTGTGCGAAGAATTTGTCGTCTTATAACATCTATTACATAACCAATACGCTGTTTTTTGTGCTATGCAACTATCTGTGGACATAATAGAGACTATACAGAAGCAATTAATAACTTTCGTATTTTACTGCACAGTGCAGAAAATCGTCTTTCTTTTTTCGCACTGTGCACAAAAATGTTTCCTTTCAAAAAGCTAGGAAATGATAAGGAGACAGATTTTTGTCCTATGTAATCACTATTTAACGCCATTGAAATCACACAGTATCCCGTTAAGATCCTTTTTTTACTCCACAGCGCAATAAACCACATGTTTACGTTTCGCACCGTGCAAAGATCGAAAAAACCAAATTTTTCATCCGCTCTCTAAAATTTTCCGAAATTTTACAATCCGAAAATAGAACAGAATTTACATTAACTTCCCATCGAGGGGAAAGTGCATCGAAAGTTGTAAAACCCGTCATAAACCTTTTGGACCTCTGGCTCAAAATCTCAACAGAATTTTAAGTGCTTCATAAGCAACTTAAACTGATGGTGCGCTGGCTATAAATCAGGTCCAGAAAGTATTAAAAACATTTTTTGATTGGATACTAGTCCGTTCGCAATTTCACGGTGCGAAAAGCAAGAAATTGCACAGTGCAAAGTGAACCTTTATTTTTGCACTGTGCATGTCGCAAAAATCACACTAGCGACTTTGCGAACGGGCTGTCAGTCTATCGACAAAATAGCGGCGTTCTTTGCGCCTTGGAATTGCTCATCATCGCTTTGCGACGGCTGCCGAAGCTGGAGATTTGGTGCGCGACAGCTCCCTTTTTCGGCAAGGTAAAAGATTTTTTTGCGACGACCCGCCGTTATTTTCCCGACAGACGGTTAGTAATTTTAGCATATGATGTTCGAGAAAGAGCTGGGGCCATCCATCCTTTATTAATTTTATTTTCGCCAAATAATATCAATAGATCCGAGAGTCGCTGATTTCATAAACTAGTTAATCGTGGGTACGGTGGAAATCCTCTCAGTATCCCACACAGATCCCGCCAAACAGTTTAGCTAATTGTATTCGGCAGCGGCGCGATGACCTCAGCATGTAATCTGCTTTGTCATTATTGCGGTCAAGACCGTGGCACAGTCCGAGCGGCTTAGGATTTCATGGGTCGAGCGGAATCCCCGCAAAGTATGTTCCCAAGAGTTTTGGCGGTTGCGTAACCGCCTTTGTAAGCGTCTTTAGGCAACGATTTCGCAGCCAGTGTACGGTAAAAAAGCGGACAAAAGAAGTGTGAAACCGGTCTCTCGTTGTAATTGAAAATAGAGACCGCTAAGGGGCTTACGAGCGCTTACACGCTTATTTATAACACATGATACACTCTCTTCATCGAAAATTGGTAACGAAAACAAAGGCGGACAGAGGAGGACTACAACTAATCAAACAGAGCGAACGTTTCGCTCACGGCAAAATTAGTGTTGAGCTTCCAAGTGCGACGCCCAGATTTTCGTTTAGCTTTGCATATACGTCGCGCATAGACCACATATAAATTCCTGAAAGTTTTAGCTAGTTTCGTGCAGAAAAAAGTGAGTTTTTGTGGAAACATTACCCTCTACAGTAGAAACAGCTATGAAAATTTTCATGTCGAAATTTGCAAAAAATGCCACATTTTCTTAGAAAAAATTAGTCTAACCTTGTGCCAAGTTTTATCAAAATCTATGCGTCGTACTTGGAGCACTTCCCCTGTATTGAACAGCTAGCTCCCCTGTTCAAAGCCCAAAACTATCCACAACTCTTTTTACTGTGACTTTGTGGGCGATTTTTGCCGCGCATTTCGGAAAAAATTCTTCTATTGTCATCCTATTACACGAAGCGCCTTACTGCTTTAATTAACTAATAAAACAAATTGAAAGTTTTTAAATTCTATGCACATACTAATGGTGACAAATCCTACTGTGGGCGAGCAACTACAGAGCCCCTTTTAATAGTCTTTTTCGAATTAAATTGTAATTTAATCGGTGCTAAACAGATTTTAAGAGACCGAAGTTTTCTCAAGGTGAGCTTCTCCCACCTACCCGAAATCCGTTAATCACGGGAGTGATAGGATAAAGCAATTTAAATTGTAAAAATAAGAGGAGAGAGGAGATTATACAGTAGGAAACAGGGATGTTTTAGGTTTCCGTAAGCTGAGAATGCTCTTAGCCGAGAAGATGTATATCTTTCGGACCAAAGTAAACCTTTGCATCAGCCTGTCGGAAAAATAATGAGCGCTCTGTCGGATCAAAAATCGCATCGTTGCCGAGAAAATAAATTGTGTCGCGGCAAAATTAAATTGCTTTTCACTGCAGCGACGCGATTGTTGGTTGCAGCGACATTATGCTCATTATTTTCCCGACAGACTGACATGTCCAAATGCACCGTGTAAATATTTCCGAGACTCCTAGGCCACGTTTTGCAGGAACAATCAAGATTTTTAGTTTGAAAGTTGGCAAAAATTACAGTTTTTTACAAATTTTGCTATGAAAGGTTTCGTATCTGCACGAACTATTTGGTATCATTCCAGAAAAAACACCGTTTTCGTGGCGCGCCATTGGCAAATCTTTGGCCAAAAAAGTGTTTTTCTCTGTGATGTCTTGGATTAGAACACGTGGATTGAGGGTCCCTAGTCTAGGTTCTATCTAATTGTAAGATCTCAAGCCCAAATACGTAGTTTGTCATTGTGACTGTACAACACAATGACAAAGTACAAATAGGCTATAGTTAACAGGCACTGATGGCGACAATATCAATGGTCAACTCAAGAATGTCGACCGGTGATAGCGGATGCAACGGGATGCGCTGAGTTGACCATACAGTACAACACAACACAGTAGACACAATAGAAATACACTTTATTGACCAATAGCACAACCGTCGCAGCGGGAAAAGACACCGAGAGAATAATTCACACTCCCTGATTGCAAGATTTCCATTTCCTTTATACCAATTTGTCCGTGCTTCCCTGGGAATATGCAAATTCGCACGCGAATCTCTTCTAGGCAAAGCCCGTTGAATATGCAGGCACTCGTTGTAAAGCGCGAGCCAATATTTTTAGCAATTCCCATGCGTCCTATGCTCGCCGTGTGTGGAAAATTCGAGAAAAAGCGGGAGCCTCGCACTTGGAACACTTGTCCGGCTAAATCTATAAAAAGAACCGCGCCAAAGCTCAACGACGCCTAAGCCTAAGTGCTGTAAAAACACACTGAATGTTTGTAACGCTGGCTTTTATTGCGATTAGGTTTACATCACCAGCGCGCTTGAGCCGCATTTACGCACCAAATTAAGCGGATACACACGGTCGTTTAGCACAAGTGCTATTAAAAAGTGTTTACTTAGCAATTGCCTACGCATTGCAGCTGTACGCCTCGCAAACTTGTTCGCCATCACAATGATTAAAAAGCGCGCTTGAGAATGTTCTAATTTCTTCCAACTTTTGACGTGTTCATGAAGAATTACGACAAATGCTTGCGGCGAGGGGATAAGCGGACTTAAAAGGTTTGCGGACAATAGTGCTCTTCTCCAATTGTGATTGGAAGTGCATCGCTCATTGGGTGGAAATTCATTGTATTTGGGATCCTTGTAGCGGAGTTTAGAACCTTCTACGAATAGCGTCAGCATTCTCGCCACTGCTCGGCGAGAACGAGCAGTGGGGCGTTCAGATTAACAAGGGATGTAAAAAGCTATTGCACGTGCAAAAAGCAAGAAATTGCACAGTGCAATGTAAGGTTTTGTTTTTGCATTCAATTCAGGGGCTTTACGAAAGATCTAGAACAAGGGAAGTACCCCACGTGCGACGCTCAGATTTTCTTTGAATTTTGTACTCACGTCGGGCGTAGGGTAAGTATCAATTCCTGAAGGTTTTAGCTCGCGCTTTGCAAGTGCCGCCCAGGTATCGAACGATCGGGGCTTCGGTAGTTGAGCCCCCCACGAAAGGTAGTTCAAACCCCCACTGTTTTGCCCGTTTCACACCCCACATAATGAACAAATTAGAATAATACAAAAAATGTAAGTGGGGGTTTGATCTACTACGTTGGGGGCTTGATCTAAAACGTTGGGGGCTTGTGCTGGACCATACAACTTGGATTAATTCTTTGAAATAAATTTTGGGATACAGAATGGACGAGGGGGGTTGTACTGGGTTATGAGGGGCTAAAGTGGACTGGGGGGCTGTACTACCTTAGCCCCGAACGATCTTTGTCGCCGAGAGAGAGTACGCTAAACGCAGAGAGCGGTCAGAGAGAAAAAACACTTTTTTTCCCATAACTTTGCTAGCTTCGTGCGGAAAAAATGGATTTTTTGTTGGAAATATTACCTTGTACGATAGAAACTGTAAGGTAAAATTTTTTGATTTTTTGATAAGGGAAGTACCCCAAGTCCGACGCTCAGATTTTGATGGCATTTCTCACAAGCACTGTGCGAAAACAAAAAATTACTTTGCACTGTGCAATTTCTTGCTTTTTGCACCGTGCAATAGACTTTCTCGGGCTGTCGCTCGTACTCTGACTTTTTCTGCACAGTGCAAATGCCAAAAATCACTCCAGCGACTTATGGAAGGACTCCTTCAAAATTTTTCGCATTTTTTGAAGGAAAACCGAGAAATTTACTAATTTTGTTTTGACTGGGAACTTTTTATATAAGGAGAGTTCGGCACGCACTTTGACATTTTGCTCACGGAAATGCACTGTGCACACACCAAAAATCACCCTGTTTCCGGGAAGGATTGAAGGCTCTCAGGCGTTGGGACTGTAGGAACACGATCTTGCGGCTGATCTTCCCAAGTCTCATAAAGCTACTTCACTGCTAAGCAGCTTCCCGTCCAAAACTCAGTCTTCAAAAACTCGGGTTTAAAAATTCCTTTATCGGTTTAATCAAATCGGCTGGTCTTGTGCAGGATTGTGGTTTAGGAGACACAGTCCATCAAATGGGGAGCAAGCTGTATGCGGAGCCAGAGAGGAGAATACTTTTTGGCCATATAAGAGACGGTGCCGAAGTTTTCGCTCAAAAAAGTTGAAAATTTTTCAAATTTACTTCTTTTCGATTTTGGAGTAATACTCTTTTTTACTCCAAAAAAACCAATAAAGATGTAGACACGAAGTTTACTCCAAAACTTCGACAAAAAATTGATTTTTGGGAGCGAACTCGGGGCTTTGGTAGTTCAAGAATAATACAAAAAATGCAAATTAGAGTGAAATGTAAATTCTGAAACGATTCATTCATTCTCCTTGTTCTTCTCCTTCGAAGCTGGTTGTCATGTCGGAAATATCCACGTTGGAGGGTTTGATCTAAAACGTAGGGGGCCTGACCTAAACCGCGAACTCTGAGTTTACTCGCCGGAGCCGAAAAACGGAACGGCGCGGAGTAAAGTTGGAACCATCCTCCTTCCTATTATTTCCTTACCTATCACAGAGGCACAGATGACCCAGGGCTTCTTCTCAAAAAAATTTTGTTTCGCTATGTTCAAGATGTATTTTCTGATTGAGAACAGCTTGGAATTTACTCAAAAAAAAAACAGATTTTTTACAAAACTAGGATAGTTTTCAGAGAGCATATAGGCTATGCCCTTGTGTGACATTTGAAGGAAAAACGATTTTTTTGAAAAACTTACTCTTACTGTAACTATTTATAAGCTTTGAAGTCTGCAAATTCTAAAGACCAACCGGTTTTTCGAAAAAAGTCGGCGTAAAAGATCTCTACGATATCTACTAAATGCAAGCTAAAGATCCCAAATATACCTCCAAGGTTTATATAAGCTATTAGTCTGTCGGGAAAATAATGAGCACTCTGTCGCATCGAAAATTGCATCGCGAAAATTTATTGTGTCGCGGCAAAATCAAATTGCTTTTTACTTCAGCGACACAATTGGCACAGCGAAATTGTGCTCATTATTTTCCCGACAGCCCAAAAAGACCGAAATTTTTGGCCTTTTCACGATTTTTCCGCCAAAAACCTCTGTTGTTTTTGCAAAGCGTTGTCAAAAATTTTCGGTCCACCTAGTAAGCGCTCACATCATACGATAACAAACGTATGTATCTATTGCTATCGATGCACTCAATTAACTTGACCCGTTGCGAGTGGCTCATCATTTTTGCAAACATCATTCGACCCGCATCACTTCTCGATCGTTCCGGGAACATAACTCAATTTCTCGCGTCATTTCACTCCCTCTCATCTGTTATGACCCATGAAATCATAGGTGAGCAAGAACAAGTCAAAACTTTGGCAATGTATTCAGCTCAACCCACTCAGTGCTCACGGTACGCTCGCACAAGCACGCCGTCTTACACGGCAGTAATTGGAAATGCGTGGTGGATTTGACGCAATTCGGACCCGCCAATTGTTTCCGAACGTACTCGGGAATTCGCAGCTGCAAAACGGTTTCGGTGAATATTTGAAGCGGACCGATTGGGTATTCATAAACACTGTTTTGGCCGGTGGCGCCGTGTTTTGTGTGAGGCGGAGTGCGTCTAGTATGGGAACTGAGAAAAAAAGAAGGTTCAAGGCTTGTACACACGTTGGCTAATACGGTAATCGCAGTCAACACTGTTTTGGTATCTATCTGTCGGGAAAATAATGCTCACGATGTTGCTGAATTCAAAAGCAGTTTGATCTTTCTGCAACACAATTCATTTTTTCGGCGGCGATGCGATTTTCGATGCGACGTGCTCATTATTCCCCCAACAGATTGATACCAGAACGGAGTTGACTGAAAAAAAATCATGTTCAAATAAAAGCTGAGCGCAAAGTTATTTGTCTGTCGGGAAAATAACGGCAGGTCGTCACGCCTTGGCATCGCCCATCATCGCTTGCGATGGCTAGCCGCGGCTGGGGATTTGGTGTGCGAATGCACCCTGTTTTTAACGAGGCTTAACATTTCGCTGCGACTGCCCGCCGTTATTTTCCGGCAGACTGAAGGTTTCATAGTAGGAAGGCTCATCTTGACCTGAAGTTGACTCTTGGGACCTGTAAGCTCCCTACAACAAACCTTCGTACGAGAACTCTGTATGCGTACTTTTTGTATAGCCAACAGCTTGATATGCCAGCAGTTCCCTCGCTGGCCGCTCTTTGCATCTCGTGTATTCTCTCGTTGCAAGAAGATCGTTTAATATGTCAGTTGCCCCTACAAAGAACGTCCTAGAATTTTCAGGAGTTGAGCTGTTACGTGGCCTAGGCTTTACGGAGGGTGAAAATCTCAAACAACATTGAGCTATGCATGAACGTAGACACAATAGGCAATCTAGTTTATTGGGCAAGACAATCAATACAATAGACAACCGCACACGAGAAGCGAGACAGCGACATCTGAGAATAGCGGAAATTGATCTGATGAAGACTTGGTCCTTTGATTTTATGCAAATTCGTGGGAAATAATGGCCAGTTTCAGTGAAATCATCAACAGAGCACTGTGAAGGCTGGCCTTGTCAGATCTCGTGGTCTAGACTTTGATACAACCATTGTTATTCAGACCCTTTTTCAATAAAAACAGCATTACAAAACCGTCTGAAATTTCCGGTCAGACGTGATATAATAAAATCTGGAAGGTCTGCTTATCAGAGATCGTGGGTTTCTCAAGAATCCTCCTTTACATCCTCTTCACAATATCTTTTTGTTTGTCTTTTATTACAATACTTGTTATGTTATATACATAGGCATATGTAACTGCCACGGGATCCCCGGTCTATTCTGCCTTTTTTCGCAAACCCTACCGTATTCCCGCACGAGTTGTTAGCCTATTAATTCAATTCGGGGTGATTATGGAAGGGGCGCACTGTGCGAGCCGCCCGATTACATTCGAATCGCGAACAGAATGGGGAGAGATAATCGCATTGGAAGCGGCGAAATTTCCACACCGGAGGCGCGCGAATGTGCGTACTCGTCGCGAAATGCACGCTCGTTTGCCCGCCTTTTCGCCGCCGGCCCGCCGGCTCGTGGAACCGGCGGCACGGTCGGTCGGAGGGCGGAGCCAGTGCTGCTATTACCATTTAAGGGCACTCAATCAACAATGGATTGTAGGTGGATTTGAGGGAGTAGCTATTAAGGGGCCGCCTATATAAGCCAGTGGCGCCGATCGTTGCCGCTATTCGCTTGTTCGCCCTGCTTCGACTGCGCTTGTTTCAAGTTTTTTGTTCGGCGACTTACTGTCGAAAGTGAGCGGCTAACTATAACTTACTACTAAAGAGCTTGCTGTAGCGCCGCTCGCCGCGCTTTAATGGTGACTGTAACTGATTTGGGTTTGAGCTGGTCCACCGGGTTCACGCCCTGCCCCACGCTCCGCTGGACGCTGGCCCAGCCCATGGACAACGAGATGCCCGGGTATGGTGAATGTAAAATGGTTGAGGGGTGGACTTTGAGGGTCGATTTTTTGATTTTTTAATTTTTTTTTGTACTCTTGATTTTAAGATATCTGTCTGTCGGGAAAATAATGAGCACTCTGTCGCATTACTTTTTGGGCCTCTTACAGGCCAAAAAGCCTACAGACGGCCTAGTATCACAGATCATGACTAAAATATTGGTCTGTCGGAAAAATAATGAGCATTCTGTCGCAGCGAAAATCGCATCGCTGGGGAGAAAATGAATTGTCTCGCGACAAAATGAGGTTGCTTTTCACTACGCGATCGGCACAGCGACATTATGCTCATTATTTTCTCGACAGACTGATAATCTTCCTATCTTGCTGCTAACTGACTATCTGGGAGAATTGAGGGCTAATTCACAGTAATTTCATCAAGTATTTACCATAACCAATACATTTCCAGACCCAGTGTCCCGACCACGACGAGTATCGCCAGCTCGATGGTCTCCACCTCGGCCCTCCCCAACACTTCGCTCTCTCTGCCCCTTCTCCCCAACAGCCCGATGAACGCGCAACAGTTCCTCGCCCAACAACAACTCCAACAACAACAGCAACTCTTCGCCAATCTGCTCAAAATGAACGCGCAGCCCTCGGGGCAGACGGCGGATCCGACCGCACTGATGAACTTGATGAGCGCACTAAGCCAGCAAAATCAACAACAGGTACAGCAGGCGCCAATGATGAATCCGATGATGATGTTTGCGATGCAGGCGATGCAGCAGCAACAGCAGCAACAACAACAGCAACAAAGGCAGCAACAGCTGGCCAGTCTGGCCAAGTCGTCGTTCAGTTCGTCGGACCATCAAAGTCCGCCGATGAAAGTGAGTTGAAAAGATATTTCTGAGCTTTTTTTCTGGCTTTAGGGCCTTAAAAATGTGGCCGTTGTGAGGTCATTGGAGAGTCAGAGGGTCTGACTGTTTACCAAGGGCTCTATTTTTCATAAGGATTTTGTTAAAAAAGAGGATATCAGTATATTATCCATGACCATCCGATTTTTAGCTGCCTAGGATAATATCCTTATATCTCCGAGAATTTTTCTGGCTGGGTAGATCGCTTTATACCATTTTAATCTATATGAAATTAGCTATGAAATAATGTCTTAGCGTAGTTCCTAGCGTTAGCAATTTACTAAAAATTTTGGCTTTAAAATTCGTCATGTTTTTTGAAATCTTTTGTCGACTTTTGTCCTAAATTTTACAACTTCGCGAGACTCAGTGCAGATAATCCACCTTCAAGACCAATCTCAGTATCGGTGGGGTTCATGTCAACTCTCTCAATATTACATTACTACATTAAAACGGCGGTTTCGACGCTCTAAACCGAAGGCCCCCCGATTTTCGGCATATTGTAAAACGCAAAAAGCTGGCCATTAGAACTTCTAATCCACCGCGATCATTATAAATTCGAGTGACAGAATTTAAACCATTCGTCACAACACCCGAAATAGCGCACCTGGAATTCACAGAGTGTTCGCGGGAACGGTAGGAAAATGATGCGAACGGCGGGAAGTAGGGGGTGTTTCAGCGGGTAAATGAATTATGAATCCGCTAATTTCGAAGCTTTTTATGAGTTCTGAGAGCTGGCTGGCGACGAATACACATAAAAAAAAATAATTCTTGGAACGCAAAGATTTTTTGAACGCACAGTGCAGAATTTTAAATTTTTGAAATCTGCACGGTGCGAAGGAAAATGAAGACAAAATTGAAGGGGTTGTAAAAGCGGTAGATAGTAGAACCTGTGGGAAATATTCAGATCAAAATTATTTTTGATGTCGCGAAGGATTTGAGTGAAAATTTTGAACGCACAGTGCAGAATTTAAAATTTTTGAATTCTGCACGGTGCGAAGGAAAAATGAAGACAAAATTGAAGGGGTTGTAAAAACTATAGCCAGTAGAACATGTGGGTAACATTTAGATCAAAATTATTTTTGTTTTTGCCAAAGACTTGAGCGACAGTTTCAACTGCACAGTGCAGAATTTAAAATTTTTGAAATCTGCACGGTGCGGTCAAATTTTTTTCAAATTTTTTGCAAGATATGATAAGCTGATTGGAAAGGAGCTGTGTAGATTTTTTTACTGGCTATTTTCTTATGTTCAAACTATTTTGTAGCTGAAAATTTTGGCCGCACTGTGCAAAAATCAAAAATTTTGAAAATCCGCACTGTGCGAAAATCAAAAATTTGGAAAATCTGCACTGTGCAAAAATCAAAAATTTTAAAAAATCCGCACTGTGCGAAAATCAAAATTTTTGAAAATCTGCACTGTGCAGTAATCAAAAATTTAGAAAATCTGCACTGTGCAGTAATCAAAAATTTGGAAAATCCGCACTGTGCAGTAATCAAAAATTTAGAAAATCTGCACTGTGCAAAAATTAAATTTTTGAAAATCTGCACTGTGCGAAAATCAAAAAAAAAAATTTTTATTTTCAAATTAAAAAAAAATATTTACAGCCATAATGGTCCAATATTTTCAGAACTGTCAATGCTGTCAAGCGCAGATCCACCGGAACGCGCCGATTTGTCCGATGTGCAAAAGCAAAAGCCGCTCCAAGAACCCGAAAAAGCCGAAGCGAAAGAATCCTGACCAATAGGCCGTCAAGTGCTTGGCCGCTAGCCTCGATCCAACTGAACTAATGTACTTTTATTCTCATTTTTTGAAACTTTTTTATTTTCATTTTTTCAAAATTTTTGCTTATTGTAACCCTCCATTTTTAGCGATATTATTACTGCATTTTGATTGTAATTTTTTTTGTAATTGCATTTTCATACTGTAACTTGAATATTTTGATTGATCTTTGTGCGAAAAATTAATAAAAATTATTAAAAATTTAGTTTTCGAAAGTTTGTTTTTCCGGAAAAAAAAACTGGTTTATTATGATATAGAGATGTCTGGTAATCTGACATAACTAAATTTAAGTGGATTACCGACAACATAATGGCCAAACATTACAAAAAAAATAATATTTTCGAAAATTTCTCGAGAAAATGCCATTTTTTGATGAAATTTATACAAAAACATGGCTAAAATCTTAATTAACCCTTTGCAAAATCTTTGTTGTTGCTCTATTGTAATTCCAAGACCTCTAGAAATAATCCACTCCCAAAATTCGCACTGTAATTCGCAGTAAACGCCTACATTTCGAGGGGTTTTCATTAAAAAGTCGATTAAAAATGAAACGGCGAAAAGCCGGGCCCACCTTTCGGAGTAAATAACACTCCTCATGGTACTGCATATTCTATGCGGTTTAGCGAACCATGACAGCATACGCTGCGGAAATAATTTGTTAATCTACGCATGTTTTTGCGCATTTTCGAGCGGGGTTCGTTGAAACTTTTTTTTGGGTTGAGCGAGAGGTTTTTGAAGCGGACGTGCTCAAAATGAACAGGAAAAAATGTGGGTAAAAATTGAGATGATGACTTTGCAATAAATACGATAAATTCTCTCTCTGCGACAAATCGCAGTGGCAGCAAAAACTTACTTGTTATGTCAGTCTGTCGGGAAAATAATGAGCACAATTTCGCTGCGCCAATAGTGTCGCTGACAAGGGAAGTACCTCAAGTGCGACGCTCAGATTTTGATGAAACTTGGCACAAATTTAGAATAATTTTTTTCTAAAATATATGCGAGAATCCTAGCTCGCGCTTTGCAGAAACTACCGAGATTTTTAGATCAAAAGTTGGCCAAAATTTAGAACTTTTTGCCGAATTTCGGCACGAAAATTTTCATGCCTATTTCTACCGAAAAGGGTAATGTTTCTACAAAAAATCAAATTTTTCCGCACGAAACTGCCAAAGTTATAGCTAAAAAGCGGTTTTCTCTCTCTGACCGCTCTCCACGTTTAGCGTGCTCTCTCGGCGGCAAAAATCGTTCGATATCTCGGCGGCGCCCGTAAAGCGCAAGCTAAAACTTTCAGGAATTGATATTTAGTCCATACCCGACGTGTGTGCAAAATTTAAAGAAAATCTGAGCGTTGCACTTGGGGTACTTCCCCTGTGAATTGAAAAAAAATTGATTTTGCCGCGACAAAATTCATTTTCTCGCAATTTCCGATGCGACAGAGAGACCATTATTTTCCCGACAGACTGATAACAGTGCGTTTGTAAAGTCGCTACAGGGCTTTTTTGCAGATGCATTGACAAAAATCTCTCTTTGCACTGTACAATTTCTTGCTTTTTGCATTGTGAAAAACTTTTTTGAGGTGTTTCTCGCACCTAGAGGTGGAGAGCGAGTCGCACCCTTAATTTTTCTGCACTGTGCATGTCGCACAGGCTTTGCTGTGGGGTAGCTTGTGGTAAACGGGTTCCCTTGCACTCGTAATTTTTTTATCCTGCGCCGTGTCAGATTCCACGGAACCTGGAGTTATCCACGATGTGTCAACTCGATGGAATTTATGCAAAGAGAGAGATGTCCCCCGTGCCAACTGTTTCCCCAGCTGTTTTTCCCCGATGTTCGAGAATGTTCGATGGAGAGATCCCGAAGCGGACAGCCTGAATCACGACACCGTAACCTTCTCTGAGGTTTTATCCCATCTTGATCAGATGTCGAGTAGGTGTATTGAGCGTGTTGTTGTAGAGTTGTGTTGTGTGGGGTATTTTTTTGTTGTATTGCCTTATTTATTGTATTGTTTACTGTTGTTTGATAAATCATTTACTCGAGTTGATATCATTTAATTCTCGTGTCTATTTACAAGGGGAACGAATGCAATCGATTACCCGACATCCACATCCGCAACCTTCCACTTGGAAGGCCAAGTATTTCCAGGTAGAAGGTGCTGAAGGTAGTCGATTGAAGAGACCACCGCAAGACCACTAACCATATCGTTGTTTTCTTTTCTATCGGAAGGTGGAATCGGACACGCCGCAGGGTGCGAGCGGCCTCCCAAAAAAGCCCATTGCACGGTGCAAAAATCAAGAATTGCACAGTGCTAAGCAAACTTTTGTTTTCGCACAGTGCATGTCGGAAAAATCACTACAGCGACTTTACGAAGGGACTAGTAGAAGAGCTTCGTACAAGGAGTTCTTTTTTAGCTTGATATTGGCTCTAGGGGCTTACGAAATTCTCTGTTATAGACAGGCTTTGCTGTGGGGGGTCTGCGGTACATGGGTTCCGTTGCACTTGAGAAAACATTGAATTCTTTAGCAATTATTGAGAAAAATCCAAAAATCGCAAATTTAATTTGTGCTACTTTAAAATTCCAGCCATATAATTCACTACCCTCAAATCCCTTCGTTATTTGGAGGCTTATAAAAAACTCAAAAATTGATTAAAAATTCGCTAAAACACGATGATTTCCGAAGAAGACTGGATTATGCGACAAATATTTACTGTCAAAGTAATGTCTCAACCTCCGAAAATATTCCGCCCGTCTAATCTTGTGCTTATATATTCAACGGAGTTCAATTAAAAGCCAAAAGTTTATATTGGAAAATTGCAAAAAATTTAAAAAAAAGAGTCGAAAATGATGACAAAAAATGACGTGTACTTGAACATGTATGTATAGACAAGACAATTTCGCTCTACGAAAATTGCAGAGGCGTGTGATTTCGTTGCTTGATGTACTCCTTGATCTGCGGCAGGGTCTGAATTCGGTCGATAAACTTCAACAACAGCGGGTACTTCTCCAGAATGGCGGGCTCGTAATGTCGGATGGTCGTCAAGTATTCGCTGACCACAAAGTCCACCCAGGAGACCCCGGATTTGGCGAAGAACCCGCTGTTCGAAGCCTTCAGGAGGTTGTTGTAGATGGGGAAGTTCTTGTCCACCACCGGCACGAACAGCTCTTTGCGCAGAGCGTCCCGATCCCCGCTCCGATAGCCGCTCAGCACGAACAGATAGGGCGAGAGCTCGGTGAGGACGTATTTGTGGAAATCGGCGGCTTCGTCGAGTTTGGCCGCCTCCCAATCGTCTTTGCCGGCCAGCCCGAATTGTCGTGCCAGGTAGCGCGAGATGGCGTAGCATTGCGCCAACGGCTTGCCGTCCACCTCGAGGATGGGGATCTTGCCGTAGAAGGTGGCTGGAAATTCATGATTAAAGATTGGAAAGAGCAATGATTGATGGTCTCGGAATACTGAACGTATTTTACATATACATATATAAGAATTTGAGAAAAAAAATTTTTTTGTTTTATCAGTCTGTCGGGGAAATAATGAGCATATTGTCAATGGGTCAATCGCGTCGGTGAAGAAAAAAAAATCGATTTTCTCGCGACACAATTCACTTTCTCGGCGACGATGTGATTTTCTATGCGACAGAGTGCTCATTATTTTCCCGACAGACTGATAAAGCAATTTTTTTCTCAAAGGGCTTCGTTAAACGGAATTTAATTTTAGCCTAAAATTTGTCCTGGCATTCTCAAAATCTCGCTGTAACAAACAAAAAATTGTTTTTTGCAGTGAGGTTTCATTGTACAGAGGCTCTGCTGCATTTTTTTCTCATTTACATGTATTTCTGACTCTCCTTATTTCCAATACTCTCTCGCAAAAAGTTTGTTTTGTCAGCCCTTGCAAATCGCAGGCTGAAATTTTTGTCGTTTGATTCTTGAGACTGTTACTATTCCCCGTTTATACACTGTGAAAAAACAAGAGTTCCTTTGCACTGTGCAACCTCGCTTTTTGCACCGTGCAATAGGCTTTTTTGGGCTGTCGCTGCTGACTTTTTTTGCACAGTGAAAACTTCAAAAATCAGTCCGGCAACTTTCCAGAAGGCCTAGCACATCATTTGTTCCAAATTTATAGTAAATTGAAGGACTATACTTAACCTACTGCCTCTTTTTGTATGTTATTTTGATGTCAAAAAAGAGGCCTCAAATTCTGCTAATCGTAAGCTTTTCAGGATTTTCCTTCGCCCTTTTATAATCTTTTGCTTACAATCCTTAATAGCCAGCCACTTCTTCTTGGTGATCCTTTCGTCCACAAAGCTCTCATTAGCGTATCTGAACAGCAATCGGATCGATTCGCAGATGCCTCGGGCATCAAAGTAGATCAACTTGTACTTGGGTTTTGGCTCAGTTTCAAAGTCGGTGACCTCCTGAAAATAAGTTTTTACTATATCTAATCTACTGCTATTTCTATCACACCCAGCTACAATTGAATTTACCACCGTTAAAAGCTGTAATCTTACATTTTCCGGCGACTTGTCCACCTTCTTGTGGGGTTTTTGATGGACAACTTTGATGGTCGTATGTTCATGGACGACAGTCGCTTCTGTTGTTGGAATATGCTCTTCTGGCTCCTCCACAACTTCAGTAGACCTCTCCGGTTCAGGGGTACCCTCAACATTCGCTTCGGAGGGTTCTTCGCCAACTTCGATTTTTCGGAACTTCTTTCCCATTTTTTTGAATTTTTTCTTCTGATGATGCTCTGGATGTAGCGTCGTCAAATCCGCCAGCTGACTATGGCCAACATGTGTGCTGTGAGCAAGATGGCTTGGCTCTACGGCCGCAAATAGGGCCATAAAAACGATTAAAAGAGCTGCCGACATTGCACTTGACTTCATCTTGAAAATCAGTCGATATTTTGGTCGATAATAGAAGATGGGATAAACTACAGTAATCCCAGCGAAATTGACTCCTCAGAAAAGCTAATAGACTATTCAAATGCTCGAATATGCAGGTGAATTATGTCAGAATTAGGTCCGCTTTCCATTTATATACTCAGAAATTAGCGTCTGACTAAATAGCGGCCCAAAATAGCCCCCTCAGGCGCTGTTTGGCCAGCCGAATGTTCACTGGCGCTGGTCACTCGCACGACCTTCGCGGCGCGCTCCGAATAAGGAAGTGGTTTTTTAGTAATATCCAACCTTTTTTTGTATTCCAACGACACACATGACGTTTCAAATACGTACATACAACCTTGTTTACTATCTTCAAAAAGTTTGTTATGCCCAAAGTTGGGGTGTTAACGTATTTTAGAGAGCAATTACCCCGGGTTTCGCTGCATGATTATTCAATTTGAGTCACACATCATAGTCGGTGTAAGCGGCGTCATGGAATGCCAAAGCAGTAAATACGAACATGTGTATTGCCAAAATAGCTCAAACCGCCGAAAATAACGGAATTGCGTATTTACAGTAACTGGAAAAGCAAGATTTTTGAGTGTGTAGGGTATGGTGGTGTCATGCACAGTGCAAAAAAAAATTTTTTCAAATTCGAAAAATCAAAAAAAAGAATAGTTTTTTGTAAAATACGATACAGTAAACATTGTTATATCTATAAAAAATCTAAAATTAAAAAAAAATATAAAGAAATGTCCAAAAAAGGCTTTTTTTCTCTTACCGACTCTCCTCATTTCGCATACTCTCTCGCAAAAATATCACTAACAAGGGATCGGCAAATAGTTGCACCCTGCTTTCTTAACGAAACCTATATCATTTAAAAGAGCATTAAAAATAACGCACAACGCAAAAAAAATTAGCTGCCCAATATATGTTTGGGCAAAGTTATGGCCAAAATACAGATTTTAGCCTAATTTCCGCGGCAATTTATAAGCTCTTGGAACGGCAACAAAGTTGTGTCCAGTTGGCCGAGTGGTAGTGACCCCACTTCCGGCGAAACAGGTCCTGGTTTCGAATCCAGGCTCTGCAAAACTTTTTGCATTTCGTCTCTTATATGCCACAAAACCATGGTATGTTGATATTTTTTAATAATTTTTGTTCCTTCGCAGTCAAAATACATTTTTACGGGATTTTTTCGAGTTTTTGGTTTTTTTGCTACCACCACAAATTTGATGGTGATGAGTTTGGGGATTCCTATCGTATAATTACAAGGGTGTCATACCTTTAGCCTGATTGATTATGATTACTGGACGATAATTCAATTTACAAAGGCCTATAAATATAATTTTTTCCAAAAAAATACGAAGAGAAAATTACAAAAGCGGCCAAAACACTATTGCTGACACAGTGGCCTAACCGTCGGTAAGGCTACGACATAAGAAATTTTTGATTTTGAGGTTTTTGTTTGTAAATAGCCACGACGATCATACAAGTGTATTTCCAAAGTTTTTTGCTCCAGTTTTCCCATTAACCTAGTTTTATTTACAATTTTTTGTAAATGGCAGTAATGCGACATTACATATAATGTCTAATAACTCATAGCCAAGGATTGATAAAGCCATGAAACGACCGTGATAGACGTTTTGGGATACTAGTAAGACAATGGAGACAATTTCAAGCCGCCAGGATTACTGTAATATAACAAACCGGCGTTTTGGCCGCATATAACCCCTATAATAAAACGGCCATAACTTTGCGCAAACATATATTGGGCAGCTAATTTTTCTTGTGTTGTACACTATTTTTAATGCTCTTTCAAACGGTATATGTTTCGTTAAGAAAGCAGGGTGCAACTATTTGCCGATCCCTTGTAAATAAATATTGGATATTTTCATAAAGTGCACGGGCATTTTTGCTCTTTCGCACAGCGTATTTTAAACTTTTTACCACGCTTGTCGCTGCGCACAGTGCATTTCCCTCTATTCGCACCGTGCAAACCTCAAAAAAGCCGTTTGCACTGTGCAAATTCCAACTCTTGTCGCGAACGCACAGTGCATTTTGCTGTTTTTCGCACAGTGCAAACTTGACAAATTGGCTTGCACTGTGCGAATAATTCGGCAAGACCGCAGCGACGGAGGTGGAAAAAGCCGCGATATTTTGATGCACGGTGCAAAGACTTGAAAAAAAAAGTGGAATGCACGGTGCAAAAAATTATAGAAAAAAGTGAATGAATGCACGGTGCAAGATGGACGGGAGTTTTTTTGCACGGTGCGCGCGCAACAAACGTCTGTCGATGCACCATATGAAAATACTAATATATCGCTTGCGTCTGCACTGAAGAAAATGAAGAATAATTCAATTATTGCAGCACTACGAAAAATTTTTGAGAAATCTGGATTACTGTAACTTTGGATCCAAAGAATCAATTTTTTCTTGCCTTAGACAAAACTTTAGAAAAACGGTGTCAACAGGTAACTTGCTCAGAATGACGATGCCAATCCATCCGAACCACCCCCGACTCTCTGGCATGTCTAGTTTTTGTGATACAAAATTTGCGGTAAAAGTACAGTACGCCTACAGTAAACCGAATCTCAAAAAAATCGAAGTGTCAAAAAATTTTGTTTTGTTAGTGTACCAACTGGGTTGAATTTTAGTCCTGTAGGACCAACTTGGTAAATAGTTCCACTACAAAAAAATCGACCCACACTCAAAAAAGTTTATATACCAAAAAATAAGTACTGGCAAAAAATATTATAAAAATAAACCGAAAATCTCATAAAATTTCTCCTCAATTATCCAACACTATAAGGTCTTGAAGCGATGTAATGTTGAAGCTGAGGCAACGAATGAATTCTTCTTTTATGATCCAGAAGATCTGGATGAGTAGCAGCCAAGGCCGGATCCAAATTCTCGATAGTTTGGACATGCTCGGCTATCACAAAATCAGCGTAAGAAAGGCCTCCTTTCAAGGCGAATCCACTGTTGGCTTCATGCAGAAATCTGGAATAGACGGCCAACGCTTTTTGGGCCACTGGTAGAAAATTGGTGGAGTACAGGGAGTCCTGAAAAGATTAGATTTTGAAGATTTTTGGAGGTTTTGATTGCACAGTGCAAAATTTTTGGGTTTTTTATTGCACGGTGCAATAAATGTGACTGGTTTTTTGTTGCACTATGCGAAAAATCTGACTGGTTTTTTTGTGTTACACGGTGCAAAATTTTCGAATGTTTTTTCCGCACTGTGTCAAAAAAATAATTTTTTTTTGCACTGCGCAAAATTGAATTTCTGGTTTGCTGCACTGTGCGAAAAAAAAATATTTTTTTCTTGCACCGAGTGAGAATTTAGGGTACTTTTTTTACCGCACTGTGCAAAAAAATAAATCACTTTTTTTATTGCACCGTGCAAAAAATCTGAGTGGTTTGTTGCGCGGTGCAAGATTTTGAAACTTTTTTGCTGCACTGTGCAACATTTTGACCATTTTTTACTGCACCGTGCAAAAAAAATTATTTATTTTTTTTGCACGGTGCAGAAAATTTGTCTGATTTCTTGCTGCACTGTGCAAAATGTTGGAATATTTTTCATTGTGCAGAGCAAAAAATCATCGTTGCTTTATTGCACTGTGCAATAGATTCTTCTTCAATTTTCCCACCGCACAGTGCAGCAAATGGTTTTCATTTCTTCGCACAGTGCAATCAAAACTTTCTTTTTTTTGCACTGTGCAGAAACCAAAATATTTCAATTTATTTTGTTATTACTAAAAGCAATTCTAGTTGTGTTAGTAGTTAGTAAAAAAACAAGCGCAGGGGGTTAGTTCTGACTGAAGCTCACGCTAAAATGACAGTATCCATACCTTGGTTAGTATGTTAGGAAGGACCGATGGTGGGTTAGTCTTGTCGTTGAGGCAAAAAACGCTTGTCAAAACAAAATCCACCGCCTCATGAAGACAATCGCGGATTTGCTTCAAAAAATTATTTTTTTTTTCATATCCACTTTATATTATTTTAGTCATCAAAATTTTTTTTTTAAATTTTTCCAAAAAAAATCAAAAAATCTCCAAATTTACCTCCGTATCCTCCGGGAAATCGGGTTTCCCTCCTTTCAAATGAGTGTATCTTATATGGGCTCTCACCGAATCGTAGAAAAAGCACCAAATCTCATCGGCTTTGGCCGTTTCCCACTCATTTTTGCCAATCAAATTGAATTTTCTCGCGACATAACGGAGAATTGCACCTGATTGGACGAGTTGATGGCCGTCCACGTCCAAAATCGGTAGTTGGCCATAAGGTGTGGCTAAAATGAAATTTTTTGAATATTTCAAAAATTTCCTGCGGATTGTGATGAAACTTGGCAAAAAAATTTTTATTGGGTCCTAAGACAACCAAAAAATTTTTTGAATCGCATAATGCAGAATTAAAGGAGATATGGCTCTTCAAAAATCAAAAAATTTAATTTCTGAAAAATGATTTTTCTAATTTTATATTGTCTAAGAAATGTCTATATTGTAAAATTCATGCCATTTGCTAGCTAAATTTCAAAGAAAAAATCAAAATTTTATCAAAAATGTCCCAGTTTTTACGCATTTATCACTAAAACCGCACATTTCCCTCACTCTTTTCGATCCGCTCTCAAAAAGAAGAGCGGAAACACCCGTGCGTCTGTGGTGTAATGGTCAGCATGGTTGCCTTCCAAGCAATCGACACGGGTTCGATTCCCGTCAGACGCAGAAAAATTTTTTGCATTTTTCTTTTGCATAATAAGATAATAAATAAAATAAAAACTGTTCACGGCGTATTTTACATTGTTAAAAGTCATCTTTGCTTCTGATTTGAGCTACAAAGAGCAATTTTGCTTTGTTTAAATTCAAAATTTTTCTGTCTTTAATAAGAATTGTATTTTTATTATTGCAAAAGTCCAGCTAGGATAGCAAAAGCTGTCTTCCGCAGGGCGTATTTTACCTCACCCTTTAGATTGAGCTTTCTAAAATTTACCGAGATATAGCTCATCGCACTCTGAGAACTTCTGTTGTTAAAAAAATTACAAAAACTCTTATTTTTTCCGGGAAAAATAGGTTAAGAAATTGAAGAAACAGTCCGATACCACGTATTTTACCTCTACATCAGCTTAATTGTAACATGGGCAAGTTTCACAAGTGTTTTCCAATTTACGTTTTTTATCCCTAAATTTTACGTTTTCCTCCATAAACCGCTAAAATACGAGTAATATCTCGTTTTTGCCGTGTATTTTACCTCTGAACACCTTCAAGAACCTTATAAATATTCGGTTTTTACTATAAAATGTTGATTTATATCACTTTTGTATAAAATAATATCCCCATCACCTTCTTTCTATGTTATACTCTACAAAACAAGGTCAAAATTCCGTAAAACCATGGATCAACTAAACTTACAAGGCTTTAGCGAGGCGAACGCGTCTTTCGGGATCCGGTAATCCTCGAATTTCTCGCCCGCATAATGGAAACAAAGCCTGATTGGCTCGGTGAGGGCGCGAGCCGGGAAGTAAGTGAGCTTGTAATGCGGCATCTAAACGGGATTTTAATCAAAAAAGATTATTCTTGGATAATTGATCAAATATTCGACATTTGATCTTGTTTAAGAGGGAATTTTTATTTGTGATAAAAATATGGGTGTAGTAGAATAAGATGAATTTGAAGAAATAAGGATTTCAAAATGTTTCTGGTTGGATAAAGATTCTAAAAATACTGTCTGATGGACAGAAAAAAACAGTAAACTCTGACAGTTGTGAGTAACCGAAAAAAAAATTTTGCAAAATTTGCAAAAATTTCAAAGTTGAATTTATAATGCAGGCTCATTTAATGAGTCAAAAAATACTTCATTCACATCATCAGACATTCCTTCACAAAACTTATAACACACTAATAATCGTCTACCTACATATTATTTTTTCAATTTGCACTGTGCAAAAAAATGACATGAACTTTTGCACGGTGCCAAAGAAAAAATTTTTTTTTGCACAGTGCAAATTTATGAAAAATTTTGCACAGTGCAGTCATCCATTTTTTTGCACTGTGCAGGAAAACAATTTTTATCGCTCTTTTTTGTTGCGACAGTGCACAATGACAAAAATTTTTGCACAGTGCGGCCAACCATAATTTTTGCACTGTGCAATAATTTTTTCCTTGCATTTTGCACTGTGCACCTCTTAAAAAATAACAAATTTCGCACTGTGCAGGAAAAGAATTAAACTTACAACGCACTGTGCGGATCGCAAAAAAAAATTTTTAGTGCAGACAGCAAAAAAAAATATTTTTTATGCACAGTGCAAACCAAAAAAAATCTTTTTTTGGACCGTGCACTGTGCAAAATAAAAAATTTTTTCCGCACTGTGCAATCAAAAATCCAAATCGTAAAAAATCGCCAAGTCACTGGAAAAATCTTTATAAAACGCAGCTTTATATCGCTCCGGTTCCGTATTGAATGTCAATCGACTGCTGTTTACATAGTCTTCTTTGTTTACCTCCTCCTTGCGCCGTGAAAAGGTAACCTTTTGACTGTTCAACTCGACTTGATGACTAAGTTTTGTAGTACTATTTACTACTTTGTAAGAAGCAAAAAAAAAGTTCAAACCCAAAAAAAATTCAGATTAGATAAATTTACGTAGGATGGAGCCGGTTCCACCGCGAAGATTGGATTGGCATTCTGTGGCAGTCGGTGGAATCCCAAGTTTCGGTCATAAAACGCGATAAAACTCAAATTTTTTTCGGATTTTCTTTTCAAAGATGACAATAAATGGCACAATCTACATTTTTATTACAGTTTATATAACTTTCAATCATAAAATGGCAAGTTTATATCATTTTTATATCAGTCATCAAGTACAATATAAAATTAATCCTAGAACCCATAGAATTCCGGGGACTGGGTTCAATCCTACTAAATATGACTAGATCTTCTCTAAAAAGCACCATACTCCTCTACTTCCACAGGTCCAGCACCACTCTTCCTTTCAATTCACCGCTTTCCATGCGTTCAAAGACTTTTGGCAGCTCCTTCAAGGGCAGTATTTCAATGGGCACATCGATTTTTCCTCTCTTCAAAAAGTCCAACGCCTCAATTGCATCTTGTCGACAGCCAACGTAGGATCCTTTGACCGTGATGCAACGCACAACGGCCCAGAAAACGTTCACATTGCAATGGCCGTCCTTCGGGAGGGCGATTAGGACGACGGTGCCCTGAGTTCGGACGTATTTCGTCGCCTCGGTCATGGTTTTGTCTTGGGCGGCAATACAGAGGACGGCATGAGGTCCGCCGTCGGTGAATTTGACCACTTCATCGATCAAATTCTCCTAAAAGAAATGTTTTTTTTCAGCAATATGTGAAATGTGAGGGATTCGGGGAAAACGTGAAATTTTATGAATTATGGATGGAAAAAGTAAAGTTTCTGGGTGTGAAAATGTCTTGAATGACCCTGTGGCCCTCCACGGCTTCGATTTCCGGTCGTTTTCTTTCGAAAAATCCCGTTTATGGATGGAAAACGGTAAATTTTATGCAAAATTTACGTTTTTTCACAAAACACTGATTTTTTTTGTAAAATACGACTTTTTCTGATCATGATCTGAGAGTATAACGTCTAAAAAGACTTATCGAAGCAATGAGGCCTAGTTTGATTTAGTTTAGACTTGTTTATAACCAGAAATTCACTGATTTCTACCTAAACTTCCGATTTTTCCGTAAATTTTTCCGGAGTTGGACGATTGGGGGAAAAGACGATTGGGGAAACCGAAAAGTATTATTTTTCGTCGATGCAAGTGTCGAAATTAGGATAGTCGAGGGCGCTGATCTCGAAAATGGCATTCATTTTTTTGATCTTTACTTTTTCCTTCAGCAGTACTGTAAAGTAGAATTTTTTAATTTTTTTTTTTATGAATACTCGATTTGGAGGTTTTCGATGGTGCTGCTTTCAAACCAGAAAAAACGAATAAGATTTTCGAAATAAGCAAAATCGAAACCCCCCAAATCGAGTACTTGTAAAAAAATCAAAAAATTACCACTTTACAGTACTACTGAAAGAAAAAAAAGTAAGGATCAAAAAAAAAAATGTCATTTTCGAAATCAGCGCCCTCGGCTATCCTAATTTCGACACTTGTATCGAAAAATAATACTTTTCGGTTTCCACAAAGTACCCAATCGTCCAACTCCGGAAAAAATCGGAAATTTAGGTAGAAAACAGACAATTTCTGGTTATAAAAAAGTTTAAACTAAATCAAACTAGACCTCATTGATTCGATAAGTCCCTCTAGCCGTTATACTCTCAAATCATGATCAGAAAAAGTCGTATTTTACAAAAAAATCAGTTTTTTGTGCAAAAACGTAAATCTTGCATAAAATTTGCCGTTTTTCATCCATAAACGGGACTTTTCGAAAGTAAACGACCGGAAATCGAAGCCGTGGAGGGCCACAGGGTCATTCAAGACATTTTCTCACCCACAAACTTTACGTTTTTCATCCATAATTCATAAAATTTCACGTTTTCCCCCTAAGCCCTCACTTTTCAAATTTTGTTCACAAGGAAAGTACTTCTATGGGGTGTGGAGTTACAGGTCGAGATATATATCAAAAAATTCGCAAAAATTTTCTGATTCAGAATGTATAAAAATTAGCTGCCTAATTTTGGTCTGATGACATGTTTTTGTCCTCAGAAGTTTTCTCGCGACACCATGCAAGTGTCTTTTTGGCCGCGTTTTTACCAATAAAAAAATTTTATTTTGTGCTAAAATAAATTCTGAAGCCTTGACAAGCCTTAAAATATCAAATTTGATTACAACTACACTTAAAACTAGTTCCAATGTAAAAAATGGGTTCTCGTGTGGCAAAAGGAATCGAACCCGTTCCCCTCGGATTTCCAATCTGGCGCTCTAACCACTCGGCCACACCGCTCTCTTCCGAAGGAAGAGACCGAGCGCGCTTTTGTTGCCGCAGATTTTTTCCTCGAGAAATACATTTATTGATAAAACTCGTAGGTAGACCAAAATTAGGCAGCTAATTTTTATATATTCCGAATCAGAAAATTTTTGCGAATTTTTTGATATATATCTCGACCTGTAGCTCCACACCCCATAGAAGTACTTTCCTTGTCAAAAAACCCCGAAATTATTACCTGAAAAGCGTCCAGAAACACTTCAGCTCCAAGACTGAGACAATGCTCCTTCTTGCTGGGATGATCAATGGCCACAACTCGCAGTCCCATCGAATTTGCATACTGAATGGCGAAGCTTCCCAAGCCGCCACCGGCGCCCGGGATGGCGATAAATTGGCCCGGCTTGGCGTTCGACTCCTTCAGGGCCTTGTAGACGGTCACTCCGGCGCACAGAATGGGCGCGGCTTTGGCCAGGTCCAAGTCTTCGGGGATTGGAGTGGCTTCGGTCGCTTTCACGACCGCAAATTGCTGAAAACTGCCGTCGTGTGTGAGGCCGGAGAGCTTGGTCACCGAGCAGGTATTCTCCTTGCCTTTGCGGCACTGTTCGCAGACCAAACAGGAGCCATTGAGCCACTAAAATAAGAGAAATTTTAAAAATGTAGAAAATGGGAGGAGAAGTACAAAAATGGCTATATCAAATAGAAGGAGACTTTCCAGACAGAAATTTTCGTTGTAAAATACGAAAGGAAGCTCAATTTACAACTTCTAATTGGCAGATTTTTAATTAGACTGCTGGAACGTAGTAAATTCAAAAATTTTAATTTCTGCACGGTGCAATGACAAAATCTGGTTACTGCACTGTGCAGAGTAGCCCAATTAAACTGAAATAAGATGAAATACAACCCAAAAGGTCTCTAAAAACTCGCATTGCCCGTATTTTACAAAACTACTCGTTTGCACAGTGCAGAAAAAGCAAACTTATTCACCGCACAGTGCAAAAAAGAAAAGACGCTCTTTGCACTGTGCGAAAAAAGAATGTCCAAAAAAATTGTAGCCCAGAAAAGAACAGACCATAACTAACCTATTGAATCCAAAAACAACCTCAACTCACCTTGATTCCCGCACGATCTCCCACTTTGAAGTTCTTGACGTTAGCTCCGATCTTCACCACAATCCCAGCTCCCTCATGGCCTCCGACAAGTGGCGGTTCCTTTGCCGGGATCGGGAAATCCCCCTTCCATGCGTGCAGATCGGTGTGACAGACGCCGGAGTAGAGGATCTTCACCAAAACATCGTTATTTCCCACCTCCGGCACCGGGATTTCGCGCACCTCGATGGGGCCATTATGCTTGTCGAAAACGCACGCAATCTGCTTCTCCGGAACCTCCAAACTGGTGGTTGGCATTTTGTGGACACTAAACAAAAAAATCCGTCATTACGACACGATTTATGGAAGAAAAACGTAAATTTATGGAGAAAAAACGTACAATCTGGAAAGACTTGAGGAATTCGATGGGAAATGCCGGGAAAGACGCAAGGAACGGGTCAAATTCAGACTGCGCAACATCTCAAGACACTTTGAGGATAAAAACAATAACCGTAAAGGCTAAAAGAATGCGGAAATTTTGAGAAAAAAAAACAGAAATCTAGTGGATAAACTAATATCCTCAAAAAATTCAGTCCAAATTGGGCAGAAAAACAAGCGACGATCGGCATAGAGCTCCTATTTCTTTGTCCTTTCTCCGAGGCCCCATTTTTCGCGAAAAAAAACTTCCGGCTTTTTCCCGAAAAAGACGAAAACATGTTTACGAAAACACGAATTTTTTGTCTGGAAAATGGGAATTCTTCATGGAAATGTCAATGTACTTAGCCTCAAAGGACATGGAAGAAGATCTTCAATGAGTTTAGAAGATGAAATGAAGGAAATTAGATCAATTTTGAACCAAAATCAAGTGTAAGATCAGGTAAATTTAATTTTTGATTTTTATGTTTTATTTTTTAGGAATTCAGATGGAATTCAGATGTTACAAGACAAAATCTATAATGAAAAATATGTTTACTTCGTTTCTCCGGGGTAAAAACGCTAAAATTTTGAATTATGATCTTATTTTAGTCTAGACGCCTAAAGTAAGGTGAAAAGGTCAAAAATACCCATGAGATTGCCGATTGAAAGCTAAACCGAATTGAAGACTGACTTTTCCGACAGTTTGCACTTCCAAAAAAACGGGAAAAACAGATCGAATGCGGACGTAAACCGACTTTTCAATGCTTTTTGTCCTTTAAACCCAAAAAAACTCTTGCAAAACAAGTGTTTATGAGATTTCAAGTAAGATTTTGCAAACAAAAGCACGTCAAGACCATCCTCTTTTGATTTTTGATCGATTTCACACATCTTTCGTAAAAAAATCGCGAGTTTCTTGCAGCTTTCTCCTTATTTATACCAAAACATATTGGAGACATTTCGAAAATCGGAGAGGAAGAGCAAGTCGATAGCGGGGAAGTCAAAGTCCATTGGGCATCAAAAAAACCCTCCCATATATACGCATGATCAGAAAATGAAGAGTCCGATATTATACTTGATGTGACTTGACGAAAACTAACGAAAAACATTTCGAAACTGAAAATTGGGTAAACATTGGTGGTCGATAAGATGTGCTTGTCTTAAATTTTATCTTGGAAGAGAAATTAGGAGTTCAAAAGTTTCGTAAACTGCTCGATGATACGAAACTCAAAATATTGGTGAAAATTGCAGAACAGTTGCAAAATATGGAACTAAAATCCATTGAAATTACCGACAATATAAGACACAAGATAAAAGATTTCGCAAAAAAATTTTGAATTTTTTTCGAATTCACCTTTTCTCGGTTTTGTTACTCCCAAAAAATGCCAAAAAAAGTAAACACGAAGTTTACTCCAAAATTTGGAAAAAAACCGATTTTCGGGAGTAAACTCGGAATTTACTCGCCGGAGCCGAGAAATGGAATGGCGACGAGTAAATCTGGATTTTGCTCTCTTCAAATTATTTCCTATTATTTTCAAAACTTTTTAAACTTACACGGGAAGTACCCCAAATGCGACGCTCATATTTTCTTTAAATTTTGCACACACGTCGGGCATCAACTAAATATCAATTCCTGAAAGTTTTAGCTCGCGCTTTTCAAGCGCCACCGAGATATCGAACTATCTCTGCCGCGGAGAGAGTACGCCCAACGCGGAGAGCGGTCAGAGAGAAAAACGCTTTTTGGCCATAACTTTGGCAGTTTCGTAAGGAAAAAATTGATTTTTAGTGGAAACAGTACCCTTTAGGGTAGAAATCGGTATGCAACTTTTTGTGCCGAAATTCGGCAAAAAGTCCTAAATTTTCGCCGACTTTGGATCTAAAAATCTCGGTTGTTTCTGCAAAGCGCGAGCTAGGATTCTCGCATATATTTTAGAAAAAATTATTCTAAATCTGTGCCAAGTTTCGTCAAAATCTGAGCGCCGCACTTGGGGTACTTCCCCTGTTAATTATAGCTAAAGGTAAAGTAGGATGTTAGCTTGGTTCTAATATCAATTTCGAACCAGAAGGAGCGAGTTTTACGAAAATTTTATATTGTACTAGGTCCTGGCGTTTGGTCCCTCGTTACAACAAAGTTGGAATTTTGTGAAGCTTGTTGCCCCATGGATAATGTTTTTTAAACCCCCTGTACACCTCTATTTTATTTTTATTCAAATTTTTATTTCATAAGAGGTACAATATTTGTTATGGGCAATGAAATGTTGTTATTCTTTGTTCCTTGTCCAATTTCTCTTTATTCTCCGTAAATTGGGCTCATATCCTACGCTTGCGGTCAGGATGTCCAAAGATGTGATTTATGTCGCTCCTTACTGACAGTTCCTCCCTTCTTCGTAGGTTGATCAAGTTATGTAATGCTTACACTTCAAAGGTTATGAGTTATTCACTTATAAGTTTATTGCAATTTCAATAACTTGTATAGACAATACATTACACATGATGCCAATCGGGTCATATCCGGATAAAGGACAATACAAAAAGGGGGAAGGCTTACTTACTCAATATTACATGATTAAATATGTATATGATTAAAAGACATTACCTTATCAGCCTGGTCCATACGGAGGGCACCCGACTCCTGACCTAACGCTTCTCTCTTCTGCCTCTTTCTTAGTCGGCTACCTGTGGATCCTAACAAGACTCCCAACGGGGAGTCTGAGCGGGCCAGGGGATTTTTCGCCGGTTAAACAATAAACGTCCGCGCCGTTAATACGCGATTTCAGTAACCCTAATCCAGAAAAGTGCACTACGAGTACGGCCTCAACCGGCCGTCTCAATTGACGCTCTGCAGAGGTCCTAAAGAAAAAAATGGGGGAAGAAAGTCAAATTCACGTAGAGCATTGGGAATCCGTGGGCCACTGTTGACCATGTTGGCAAAGGTTACGTGCGGCAGATCCGCTGCGTCTGGAGCTTGGAATATTATGCGGTTCCTCCCGTCGTGGCGTTGTCGGGGAGGACCAACTTGCTGCTCCCGGGGCAAGGTGACGAGAGCCTGTTCGCCGTTTGCTTGTTGCATTTCGCGTTCTGGTGCTGGATGCTCGGCTTGTTGCGGGATCTGGGGTTCCTGAACTGGTTCCACATCCATGGCGTCCAGTGGGGGTTGGCCTACCCAAGCCTCATTGTTGATGATCGCCTGCTCATTTCAATCTGGAGCTTGGTCTCGGCCATCGTCGCGTGGCTGGAGCGCTCCCTCGTCGAGGCTAAGGGACGACAGGGCTCGGGACAAGGACATGTTTTGTTCAATTTCTACAATATAAACTTCAATATGAGAATAATAATAAAAAACAACCAAGATCGCGTCTGTTCGTTACCGCTGTCCCAGCATATGAATGATGGGTTTGCTTCTGTTCGGTTTAATCATTTAACTTACGATGTCCGTTTTTATCAGCTCCAAGATACGGTCGACTACTCCTATCAGCGTTGCGAAAGTCCCCGGGGGTGGGGGATCCGGTGGAAAATCTACCCCTTTTGTTCCGTAACATGTTTATAATGGATGGTAGAATGCTCTGTTATGGCATTACTGGTCATTTTTCAGCCGCATGCATGAAGCTTATGTCTTCGCGCAAGATCAATAAAGAAGGTACGTCTTGTAGGCAGCGGAAATACTTCTCCGTCGACTTCGACGTGTTGACAATGTGGCGGCAGCACTACGTGAAACACTGATTCGGCGTATTCGTGGGACTTCCCCTCTTCGTTCGATTCGATTGTCCTATTACGGACACTCTGCGTAACTCGGGGCTCCATAGTAACACTTCGGGGCACAGCCTTCAGTACAAATGGTGCAATTAAGGCCTTGTTTGCATTCTATCATTGTGTGGTTCGGTTGATGCCTGACTGACGACGGATACAGCCTATATCTCCACAGGTTTCCTTTCGCTGTTCCTTGGTCGTATATGCGGTAGAGTGTAAATAGTTCTTCTCCCCCATAGGCGCGTACCAGATTTTTACGTCCATCGTTAGTATTCCCGGATCTATAAAACCTTTCTTTATCCTTTTAACACACTTTGGCAATGAATGCAAAAGTACCCAATTTTTTATATTGTATACTTCCTTACCGTCCTCTTCCAGTTTTCCTTTGTGCAGTAGCTTACATTCGCTGTACGCGACACGTGCCGTTGGATAGCGTTGTTGCAATTCGTTTTGCACATTGTGGTTGATGGTTCCACTTGGGTCTTGTAGTTTATAAATTGCATGGTATGTCATTACAAGTTCGGCGTTCAGGAAGAACATGTTCTCCATGCAATGTTGGTGTTCAAGCAGTAGTTTTCGGGTTTTCGCTGTCTCGATGATTACGACCGATAGTGCTGCTATGCTCCCTGCTGTTGCTATGCCAATCCCCCAGCCATATAGCCCATGCTGTCGTAGTAGGTGATGGTATTCCTCCTTGTGTCATACCAATTCAATGTTCAATGCTAAATTTACGACACTGAAGTCGCAACTCGGTATACAATTGAGAACTTCATGTTCCTGCATAATTTTAGTAATGCTCTTGCATTTCGATTCTAAAAAAGCCATTTTACTTTTTAAAAATAAACAGAAATATACTCAATGAATACAAAAAAGACTTACAGGGTAGAAGTTTACGGCAAAATGGTACACGACTTCTGCTTTTGACTGGAACGTGAAGGGTTCATTTAAGTTCGCTTGAAGAATGATTGATTCCGGTTTCTCTTCTCTTTAGTCACACAATACGGGGCCTCCAACAAACAAAAGTTACATGTAGGATTTACCATTGCAATCAACAGAATCCATGTCTTCTCCACTTTTCACTTTTTGTGAAATTTGGTATCCCTCCTTCGCACTAAATACCCGTCTTCCTTTCTTTCCTCTGTCCGGTTTTACGCTCAGAATAACCGTCTTCATTGAACGTGGCCGTGCTAGAACAACGCACAAAAAATCGTACAGCGAGCGACATTGTTGCATTAAGAGCCTTTCGTCCTGGCTCATCTCCTCCCACTCATCGAGGGTGGCAAATAAACAACGGCGCTCATTATTGTTTCAATATCTGAAAACGTACATGAGTATATGGAACAGGAACAAAAACTCGTGTTGTGACATAAGGAACGTACTAGGCACACTGCTTCTTCAGTTGCGAGGTTACACCCGACTCACGGCGACTAAACTCCCCTGGGTCTGATGTGCCTGCTTCAGACATATTTTGGCTTACCTTAGGCAGTTCCGTTTGTTTCTGAGTGGGCCTGGCACTTCCTCGGGTTACGACGTTGATCATCGGAGAGCGGGAAGCGAGTCTGAGTCTTCTGAGTGCTGGAATACACTCGATCCGACTTCGTTGGCAGAGTCCACATCTGAGCGGCTTGAGAGATTTGGCATCTCCTCGGAGATTACGCAGGAAAGACCAACAAAAGAATTAGACGATTTACGAGTGTGCGTGGTCCTCTCCTCAGAGATATGGCCTGGAAGGCATAAAATACGACAAATATTATCCATACGGAGGGGCACCCGACTCCTAACCTAACGCTTTTCTCTTCTGCCTCTTTCTTGGTCGGCTACACTGTGGATCCTAACAAGACTCCCAACGGGGATTCTGAGCGGGCCAGGGGATTTTTCGCCGGTTAAACAATAAACGTCCGCGCCGTTAATACGCGATTTCAGTAACCCTAACCAGAAAAGTGCACTACGAGTACGGCCTCAACCGGCCGTCAAGAAGCCGCCTTAAAAACCCTTTAAAATCCCACTTGAATATTCCCGAAATGTCCCAAGAATTAGTCCCAAGAAATGTCCCAATAAAATGACCTGGGGACGTGCCCTTAAAATCCCAATACTTCTCCCGAGAAGGGCAGAGCGGGCTCGTCTCCTCAGAGACTAGCAACCCCCCTTGAATTTCATCACATAAAGACTTAACTTTTCGAAAACTCTAAGCAATTATAATACCTTTCGATGCCACCTATAGCAGGCATTTTTAGAACCCTTATAAAAGATTGGTTTTTACCCCTAGCACTTAAGAAACCCTAGTAACTTTCAGAACCAGCTTAGTCCCTTCGAGTACCCCTATATCAACTATGTTTCAAACGATTTCAAAACAATTTCTTCTAACGCTCCTACTTCAGCAACCCTGCTACTGTTCAGAAAACGCAAACAAAAATCACATAAAACATATTGTATCATAATAAACTGTAATAAAACGAAAGGCCATAAACCAACATAAACCCCCAACCCCCTTCTCTCGTCTTCAGAAAACATACCTCTTCGCACCACTCATACTGCATCCTCTGAAACCTGCGCCTTTATTCTGCTTTTGACGCTTTATTTACGGCGTTACAGAAAAAATGCAGTCCCTTTTTTTCTGCGTTCATTTCGCTTCCGTTCTGCGCGTTTCCTAATAAATGCGTCTTCTTCCTTCTGCCAATTTCTAGAATCACGTTGCAGAAAAAATGCTGTGTGCGATACCCCATCCGTTTCGTGCTTGTCTGCGCATCCAGCTTCCTGTCACGTGCAGTTTTGCAACACCCAAGAACATAGACACAAGAATAATAAAAGATTTCGCGAAAAAATTTTGAATTTTTTTCGAATTCACTTTTTTTTCGATTTTGGAGTAAAAATTTTTTTTACTCCTAAAAATGCCAAAAAAAGTAAACACGAAGTTTACTCCAAAATTTGAAAAAAAATCGATTTTCGGGAGTAAACTCAGGATTTACTCGCCGGACCTTCGGCTAAATGCTGAGTTTACTCCAAAAAAAGGCGAAAAAAAGTAAACTCGGAATTTACTCCAAAAATCGAAATTTTGAAAGCTATTTTGATTCCTACTCTCCCACCCATGAAATTTTTACTCTCTTTTTCAAAAAAAAGTGAATTCGAAAAAAATTCAAAATTTTTGAACAAAAACCTTTATCTCATCTCTTATATCCATAACGACCAGCAAAACATTTATTTACCCTGAAATTATATTTTCCAACAAAAAATCGGTCAAAAAAAAAGGACTTTGACCCCGACGTGATTCGAACACGCAACCTTCTGATCTGGAGTCAGACGCGCTACCGTTGCGCCACGGAGTCACTGGCTCATTTCCTCTTTTCCCACTTGCACAAGCCTGATCGTGAGAAAATGCTTGGGAAAGTTGCAAAAGCTGTCAATTCTCACCAATTTTTGGTTGATTCCCATGAAAATTTTGAAACTCATCATCAGTCTCAGGTCTTGTGCGGTCGAACGCGGTCGGTCTCTTCGGTCTGTCGTCTGGAAGGGCGAGAAAACACTCGAATTCAAGAGAAAGCATTGTTGGCACGGGAGTAATCAGCTGTCGCCATGGTTGAAGGTAAAATACGGAACGTTTAGGGGTTGTAGATTATTTTATGTTGAAATTTAGAGTCTTTGCGATTGTTTATAAGTTGTTTTTTGTCAAAAGTTTGATTGAAACCACGTCTTTTTTGATGATGTCATAGTTGATAGAATTGTCGGAAAAAAATGGTATTTTGAACTTCTAGAGTGCAGTGAAATGGCTCGTAGAGTATTTAGATGTGATTATTTTGCATTTCAAGATGTTTATTTTTAAAATACGGGGTGCCCTCCTTATGTGGGATGATTAACATAAACTATCAAAAAAGTTACCCGAAAGCTAACTTGTTAAAAATCCATTGCGATATTGTGATTTACATTCTATCAGTTGTAATTCCTCAAAATTTTGCTGCATCTTTCTTACTTTAACAAAAGTTATGACATTTTTTTCAAAACTCAACCTAAAATTTCGATTTTTCAAGACAACTTTTCTATTTTCCTGTCCCTTTCAGCTTGGCATTTGCAATCGGTCTACCTCGGGCAAGGCCCTCAGAAGGCGCCACAAAACAAGCCGGGTGCTCAGCAGCAGAATCAGGAGCTGACCCCGGTCCCAGCCAATCAACTGCCTCCATCCAGCAGTGAGGGGGACTCGGCCGAGATTCCTCCTCGTAAGTCCATTTAAAATTATTTATTTTGTCGCTCAGCCTCTTCCCAGCCAGTCCAGCTGTCTCAAGTCCCAAAAGCAGGCACTCCACCGCCGAAGAAAACCGGTCAACCAGCACAATCGGCGTATATTGGAGCACAGACGGGTAGTAAATATCAGCAATCCAATTATGTGGGACAATCGAGTCCGAGTGCGTTTGCTTGACATTTGAGTGGATTTTTATTGACGTTTAGGCCCAGCTAGACCAAGTGCGTCTCCAAAACCAGGAGCTGCTCAGGCCGGAAACCAGCAGTATTTCGGAAAGGATGCCGCTGGTCCTACGGAATACCCTGCGGGTAAGCGATGTTTTTACTGAGTGGAATATTGAGTTTCTCGTGTTTTAGGAGGCGGTCAAGGCCCTCCACCCGGCGCTGATGACAAATTTGTCCAATCCGTCTACTTTGGTCAAGGTCCCGTCAATGGCCAGAATGCTCGGCCTGGAGGTCCCGCAAGCAAAGGTAGGCCGTGTTTTCGTTTATTTTTTGACTTTTAGGCTACACCTGGTCGATTTCCAAAAATTTGTGACGCATTTTTCCGAATCAATAATTTTTGTGACATTTCGTCAAAATCGATAAAATTTGTTGACATTCCGTCGAATAATTGATAATTTCAGGTGCTGCTGGTCAAGCAAATGCTAGCCAAATCGGAGCTGCCAAAACTCAAGGTAATTTTTTGTTTTTGAAAATCCAATAATTTTGGTGACATTTCGTCAAAATTTTTTTTGACAAGAAATTTTCAGCCAGCACTGTCAAAACAGTTGATGAATCCAACACTGCGGATGCGAAGCTGACCCCAGCACCGGTCGGAAATCAAGCCGACAAGGAGCGTGAAAAAGCCCTGGCAGAGCAAAAACGCCAACTTCAGGAACGCGAAGAAGCCGAAAAAGCCGAAGCCAAGCGCTTGGAAGCCGAGAAGAAGCGACTGGAAGAAGAAAAGGAACGTTTGGCCAAGGAAAAGGAGGAGTTGGAGAAGGAAAAGGAACGTTTGGCCAAGTTGAAGGCCCAGAAAGAAAAGGAAGCCAAGGAAAAGGAGTTGAAGGACAAGGAGGGGAAGGAAAAAGATGCCAAAGAGAAGGATGCAAAGGATAAGGACAAGGGAGAAACCAAGGAAGCCAAGGAGGACGCTAAAGCGGATGCCAAGGCCGGCGCAAAGGGAGCTGGAGCCAAACGTAAGCGACTTTTGGGAGTGCACAGTGCAGGCGGAGGAATACAACAAATTCTGATGCACTGTGCAGTGGCGACAAGATGTTGCACTTTGCGTCTTCCTTTTTTGACTGCACTGTGCAGTGAATTTTGTTGCTTGATTGCACTGTGCAGTTGCGACACAATTTCGCACGGTGCGAAAAGTCCTTTGTGTGACTGCACTGTGCAATTAATTTTGTCGCTTGATCAATTGCACTGTGCAGTGGCGACAAGATGCTGCACGGTGCGAAAAGTCGTTTGTTTGACTGCACTGTGCAAATGATTTTGTCGCATGATCAATTGCACTGTGCAATGAATTTTGTCGCTCTTCCAGTTGCACTGTGCAGTTGCGAAAAAAATGTTGCACAGTGCGAAAAGTTTTTTTTTTTGACTGCACTGTGCAAAGAATTTTGTCGCATGATCAATTGCACTGTGCAGTTGCGACAAAATATTGCACTGTGCGAAAAGATTTTTTGACTGCACTGTGCAGTTGATTTTGTCGCTTGGTGAGTCGCACTGTGCGGTTTGATTTTCAAGTTTGACCCGCGATGATTCAAGCGGAATTTTTAAAAAATGCACGGTGCAATAATGTTTTTTGACACCGCACAGTGCAATTTTTTGGGGGGTCTGTCTGCACAGTGCAGAATTTTGAATTTTTGGATAATTTTTTTTGTTTTCAGAGAAGCACAAGTATTCTGGCGGTCCGTCCCTGAACGCTGATCGCAAAGAGAAGCTGAATGTGGAAGTGGAGCCTGGAAAAGTTGTTTATGCTCGTAAGTTTTGGGGTTCGGTTCAATTTTGCCTGGTGTAATATAAAGTTTTGGTCTTTTTGGGATTTTTTTGATTATTTTGAGACGACGGGGGTTTTTTGAGAATATTTTGAGGTTTTTGACTTTATTTTTTGGGGAATTTTTCATTTTCAGAAAAAAAAAATTTTTTTATTTTTTTTTTTTTTTTTTGAAAATTTTTGTAAATTTTTTCTAAAAATCTTCTTTTCAGACCCTTACGACCGTCAACAGATTGTGGACATTAATCTGAAGAATGTGAGCGGCGAAATTGTCCACTATAAAGTCATGGCCACCCAGCCCAAATTCTATAGGGTCAAGAACAAGCAGAATGTCATCCTTCCCGGACAATCGGCCGTGGCCGCGATTCGTCTGGAGATCCTGAAAAATCCGGCCAAATGCAAAAAGGAGAACCATCGAATCATCATCCAAACGGCGGTCTCGAAAAAGGCCCAAGAAGATAAAAAGTTCTGGAGAGATATTGATGGGAAGAAGAACCGAGTCCAGTTCAACAGAATTCCGGTGGTAAGTGAGGGGAAAATAGGGTTGATTACGAAGATTTTTTTGAGGATATATTTTTTTTTTTTTTTTTTTTTGATTTTTTGGCTTTTGCACGGTGCAATTTTTTGGACTTTTGGTTTTTAACGGTGCAATTTTTTTAACAATTTTTTGCACGGTGCATTGTTTTGGACTTTTGGTTTTTGCATGGTGCTATTTTTCAAAAAAAAATTTTTTTGCACAGTGCAATTTTTTGGATTTTTTATTTCTGCACGGTGCGTTTTTTTAATGTTGTTTTCTGCACGGTGCACTTTTCTAACCTTTTTTTATTTTGCACAGTGCACTTTTTTGCATTTTTTTGCACTGTGCATTGACATTTTTTCCATTTTTTTTGCACCGTGCAGTTCATAAAGTTTAATTTTTTGCACCGTGCAAATTGTGAGGTCAAATTTTTTTGCACTGTGGAGTTCTTGGCGTCAATATTTTCGCACCGTGCAATTCGGAAAGTCTCATTTTTTTGCCCCGTGCAGTTGTTGAAGTCAAATTTTTTTGCACTGTGCAGTTTGTAAAGTCTAATTTTTTCGCACTGTGCAGTTCTTGAGGTCAATTTTTTTGCACTGTGCAGTTCGTAAAGTCTAATTTTTTCGCACTGTGCAGTTCTTGAGGTCAATTTTTTTGCACTGTGGTGTTGTTGGGGTCAATTTTTTCGCACCCTGCAGTTTGGAAAGTCTCATTTTTCTGCCCCGTGCAGTTCTTGAGGTCAAATTTTTTTGCACTGTGCAATTTGTGAGGTCAATTTTTTTTGCACTGTGCAGCAGATTTGAGCTTTATTTTTGGACAGTGCGATGATTTCTTATTTTTGAATTTTTGCACTGTGCATTTCTCAATTTATTTTTTTTTGCACAGTGCAAAAATAAAAAAATAAAAAACTTTTTTTCAAAAATATTTTTTTTCAGAAACTCCTCCTGGAAGGCGAAAAGGACGACGTGGACGGTGAAGAAGTGGAATACGACAACAACCAGCCCTTCATTGTGGAGCCGGAGTCGGATTTGATCTTCCGCGGACCCTATGATGACGCCGTTACTTCGCCGATCTGTGCCATCAACAACACGGACAAACACATGTTTGTGAAGGTCCTGATCACGAATCCCGGCCCCTTCCGTGTCCGCCCCAACTTTTGCGCGATTGCCCCAAGGTCCATGCAGATTTTCGCCGCCATTTTGGAGCCTCAAAACCCCAAGGATCTGGAGAAAATCCAGAAAAAGAAGAACAAGTTCATGTTGGAGTACGCGGAGAGCGAGAAGGGCGATCAAGACCCGGAACACTTTTTCCAAAAACATCCCAAGAACATCCAGTCCATCAAGTTGAACGCCACCTTCCAGAATGATTGAGATTTTGTCGAAGATTTACTGAAAATAAAATGGAAATGGGAAATTTGCAGGAGTTTTGGATGGAAAAGTTTGTTTTTATGCTTGAAAATGGTTATATTAGGTTGATGCAAAAGGAATTGCGGATTTTTTAATTTATTCGTATTTTTTTATGGATAGCTCAATTAAAAAATGGAAAAAGGTATATAGTAGTAAATTTTAAGAGGATTTTTTCTGTATATGTGCTATTCTTATAAAAGTTATCAAACGTTACCATAAGTTACCACGAAGGTACCCTAAACATGTTAGTACATTTTAAACCAATTTTTTTACATATTTTTTTGCGGCTTTATCCATTTTTGAAAATATTTTGATAAAATACGTTATATTCTATCAAAAAACAAAAAAAAACCCCATTTTTGGCAAAGCGTTAAAACGCTATCCCAAAAATTCAAATTTCAGCAAATTTTACAAATCGTGTCATATCTTTTTTTTAATAAGTCCAAAATAAAAAATTCTTTTTGCTTTCGATTAGTAACAACATTTTTAAGGCTTTCGTGAAAAAAAGACATCAAAATCTTGAATTTTATTTTTTGGTCAAAAATGTCAAAAAAATAAATTTTTTTGATTTTGATGTTTTTTGTCACAAAAATCTTAAAAATGTTGTTACTAATCGAAAGCAAAAAGAATTTTTTATTTTGGACTTATTAAAAAAAAGATATGACACGATTTGTAAAATTTGCTGAAATTTGAATTTTTGGGATAGCGTTTTAACGCTTTGCCAAAAATGGGGTTTTTTTTTGTTTTTTGATAGAATATAACGTATTTTATCAAAATATTTTCAAAAATGGATAAAGCCGCAAAAAAATATGTAAAAAAATTGGTTTAAAATGTACTAACATGTTTAGGGTACCTTCGTGGTAACTTATGGTAACGTTTGATAACTTTTATAAGAATAGCACATATACAGAAAAAATCCTCTTAAAATTTACTACTATATACCTTTTTCCATTTTTGAATTGAGCTATCCTATAAAAAAATACGAATAAATTAAAAAATCCGCAATTCCTTTTGCATCAACCTAATAATTACTGTGGAATACGATTATATCTATTGTAAAATAAGAATTCAGGATTGTCACGCTCACTTCAGAAAATTATCTTGTCGCAAAACAATGGTTAAAAATGCACGGTGCACGTCAAACTGAGATAAGCTAAAACATTCCGGTGAATGGATTGGCAAGGCCAAAAAAAAGACGCGAAAAAACGTTTTGTCGGGGAAGAAATGGGGAATTTTTGGGGCGAGAGAGTACGCTTTTGCGTGTCTTTTTTCTCTCTTTCTCTGGAAATCAAGACGAAGTGTAAAAAACAGATAGCGAAGAGTCTATTCCGGTCACCGGACTCCTCAGTTTGACGTGCGGTGCGCCTAGAAAAAATCAATTGCGGCATCGCGACGTGCTGTTCTTTTTTTTGAACAGCACTGTGCAATAAAAAAATCAAAAAATTGCACAGTGCGTTCAAAAAATCATTTTGTCGCACAGTGCGGTCCAAACAAAAATTAAAAATGCACATTGCGGCCAAAAAATCAACAGCGACACCGCGATGTTTTTTCGAACTGCACTGTGCGGTAAAAAAGTTTTGAAGTTGCACGGTGCAGTTAAAAAATGACCTTGTCGCACAGTGCGCTCCAAATAAAAAATAAAAAATGCACTGTGCAAAGGCAAATTTAAATTGCACTGTGCGGTAAAAATAAAAAAAAATCACTTGCATCTGTAAAGCATTTTTTCAATTTTTTTCAACTCTAAAAATCAGGCCAAATAGCACTGCGCTCCGAAAAAATTCTTCTAAAAACGCACTGTGCAGGACAAATTTAAATTGCACTGTGCGACAAAAAAGAAAGAAAACTGCACTGGGCATTAAGAAATAAAAAAAATCACAGTTTGAAAAGTATTATATTTTCTGCACCGCGAGGGATAAAAATTTCTAAATTCCGCAGTGCAACGCTTAAAATTCTTTTTTTTTGTACTAATTTGCGCTCAAAAAAAATTTTTTTCAATTTCTTTATACAAAGAACAGTCCAAAAACCCAAGAATTCACATGCCTCCCACGTGCTTCTTTCACTGTGATTCCATTGCGGTCGTCTGCGCTTGAAATGAATGGGTTTCCTAACCAAGTTTCTTATCATCTTGATTGATTGCCTCGACTCTTTCGGGCCTTGTGACCGTTACAAAAGCCCGCACAAAAGAAATTCCATTCTTCAGTGGACCGAGAATGGTTCGTAGGATATCATTTAGATGTTACACTGGGCACATCAACAAATTATATACGATTTTGTTGGTTTCTAGTCGACTGAAAATTACTGTCGGGTTGCTCGACAATTTTTGTATTGCGGGCTAAAATAGAAAGAATGAAAGGTTTATAGTTTCGCTCTAGTTTTGGCGTTACAATGTGAAACTGTCCAAATTGCTGGGGTTCTGCTTTGTGACGGCATGTGCTTGGAGGAGGACGCCTTAACTCACAGGGAAAGTACCCCAAGTGGACGCTCAGATTTTCTTTAAATTTTGCGCACACGTCGAGCATAGACTAAGTATCGATTCTTAAAAGTTTTAGCCTGCGCTTTGCAAGCGCCGCCGAGATGTTGAATGATCTTTGCCACCGAGAGAGTACGGTAAACACGGAGAGCGGTCAGAGAGAAAAGCACTTTTTGGCCATAACTTTGCTAGTTTAGTGCGGAAAAAAATGTTTTTTTGTGGAAACGTTATCCTTTACGGTAGAAATATGTATGAAACTTTTCGTCCCAAAATTCGGCAAAAAGTGTCAAATTTTCGCCAACTTTCGAACTAAAAATCTCGGCTGTTTCTGCAAAACGCGAGCTAAAATTCTCACATGTATTTTAGAACAAATTATACTAAACTTGTGCCCAGTTTCCTCAAAATCTGAGCGCCACACTTGGGGTACTTCCCCTGTCAATTTTTTAGAGGCCGTGACGGCCATAGGGGACACACGGGCCAGACTTTGAAGATGCTGAAAATGGACCGAGTTTGACGGGGATTGGGGCGAGGATCCGGAAATGCCAAAAGCCCGGCTCTCTAGCCATGTCTGCTGACATCCATCGGAGGTTGTTGTTCGAAAAAGTAATGAAACTTGCATGAAGATGAGTGTTTATGATTTTTATTGAGCGGCAAGACCTTTCCGGCCAGTACAGCAACTTTACCACATCGCTTTCCCAATTTCATAATTCTTCACTGTAGTTTCTTCGTTCATCTTTTATCTTCTCCTTTCGCTGTCACAAAACAGACCAACAACCAATTCAACTTCCCCTTTCTTTCATCCCCGTCATCAACATCATCATCCAAAGAGATCAAGCCAGACCACCCACAGTCCCTTCGCCTTTCTCGTGGTCACTAATTGTTGTAATAGAAGCTATGACAAGCTTAAACTACAAGAAATGATCATCACACCCTGCGGTCAAGCGTTATATAAAGGCGTTCTTGCCTTGTGGGAGTTACTGCAAAGCCGAACGGAAACCCTTTTTTTTTGTTAGTCATTTGGAAATAGTGTTCTTTGATAACGAAGAAAGACGTCCGATTCCGCAGTTGACCTCTGGAAACGGGGTTTGGTCAGACAGTTGAACTAAAGGAAACGTTATGGGTAAGTTGCTTTGAAATTTCGTTGAAATTGGTTTTGAAATTTTGATGACTTTAAGGGAGCTTCAGATGCTAAAAAAATTTGCCACAATAGGCTGTCATTATGCTATGTTTTGACAGTATCCTCCAAGTTATGTTTTTTTTTTGTAAAATACGATGTCCCCAACATTGCTGTGGTTACTTGGCCACTTCTCGAGTCAACCATGACATTAGTGAGAGTAATTGAGTCGTGCGCTGAATCTCATAGACTTTGGGCGTTGGAAAAGTCATATTGCTTTTACTGGCCCGTTCACAAAGTCGCTGGAGTGATTTCGGCGACACGGACCGTGCTAAATCAAAAGTTTTCTTTGCACAAAAAGTCCTTGGAATTTTTTGCGACTTTGCACTCTGTATGAACCCGAAAAAAGATTTTGCACCGTGCACCCTGACCGACAAGTGCTTTTGTGCAGTGCGATTTTGCGATTTTGTTTTTTTGCACTATGTCGCGCCCAATCCCCGTTTTTCGGAGCGACAAATCAATTTTTCGGATTGATTTGCGCAACGGAATTTCGGGGCCACGAAAAATTCCAAGGAATTTTTGGCTAGTATTACAGCACCTCTGCCAATTTTCAACAGAAAAAATAAGTTTTATTGCAGAAAGGTCATTCTCAGTTTTATCAAAATATAAGACATGGAACAAACACAAATTATAACAACAACCCTATTTCAGACAAGCTTGTAGCGCTTATCCTGGTCCTTGCCTCTTTTGGCTTTTGCATGCAAGTTATTCAAGTCTCCAGTGGCCCAGAGCTGACGACGTGGAAGACTCGTTCTGATCGACATGTTGAGACAACTACCGCAAAGATACCAACAACCCCAGACAGGTATATTGTTACGCCGAAATGGTCGTCGAATCAGCAAATCATTCTTATCACCCCAACAAGACAAAGGCCCGAACGAATGGCTGATTTAACCATGTATGTAAATTCAATTCAGAATTTGTAGATATCGTATTTTACCTCGCTGCCTTTTTTACGAGAAGTTAGTTTATCTGCGCTGCGAAGAAACAATTTTTGGGCTAAAAATTTTAAAAATTATGCTGAAGGAATGAGGGATTACTGTAGGGTCAGGTCAGCGATGACTCATAAATGTACTGCGTGGATAATGCAATGGAAATGAATGTAATGCACTTCTAATACCACCCACAGGGAATACAATGGAATGAAATAGGGATAGGTTAGTTCAAAATCAGAGCCAAATTGGCTAAAAAACGTGCGTACATCTTTGAAACAGCAAATATTTTTCTTTGGCCTCGACAGGTCAACTTGAGTTGGAAATTCGGATTACCTAATTTTCTAGGTTTTGTCACGCTCTCTTATACGGTATCATCCGTTTTTACGAAGCGCTTTTTTAATCACTTCCCCTCTCCTTAATTTTCTCTCACACATATCAGTCTGTCGGGAAAATAATGAGCCCTCTGTCGCACCGATAATCGCATCGCTGCCGAGAAAATGAATTGGCTCGCAGCAAAATCATATTGCTTTTCAATTCAGCGACGCGGTCCGCGCAGCGACATAACGCTCATTATTTTCCCGACAGACTGATATTAAAAACACGCCTTGATCTACGTATTCGCTTCAGGCTCTCTCAAACCCTCACCCACCTCCAAAATATTCATTGGATAGTCGTCGAAGACGGAGACGCGACCGTCCCCATGGTCGAACAGCTTCTTCAGCGAACGAATATCCCTCACACCTATCTACAATCCACCAACAATGGTCTGCCTTGCCGTGGTTGGGCTCATCGCAACTTGGCATTGCAATATTTGCGAGAAAATCGTGCCAACTTCGCCAAATATGCTGTAATATATTTCGCTGATGATGATAATGGATACGATCTTCGACTATTCGATAATTATGTCAGACAAGTCTGGAGAGTTGGGATCTGGGCTGTCGGTAGGGAATTTTGATGGATTCTTAGCATAAAATACGAAGAACAAATTGGTTCTTTCTCAGGGCAAAAAGTCCTGATAATTTATCAAAGCCCCGAATTCTCTCGCATTTTGAAAAAAAAATGGTTTGTCGCTATGAAAAAATGTGAATCGCGTATGACGTTAGGAAAAAAAATAAAATAAAAATGCACTGTGCAAATCGTGTTTTTGGATCAAATGCACCGTGCAAAGCACTTTTTTTTTGAATTGTTGCAGCGACACGCTAAAACCGCACAAATTATCACCACTTTTTGCCCCGAGGTACAATTTTTTTCAGTTAAAAAAACGATATCAGTTTGTCGGGAAAATAATGAACGCTCTGTCGCTTTGCCGATCGTATCGCTGAAGTGAAAAAACAATGTAAGGTTGCCACGACACAATTTATTTTCTCGGCGGCGATGCGATTTTCGATGCGACAGAGGGCTTATTATTTTCCCGACAAACTGATAGTTGAAAATTTAGTCATCAAGGATGATATAAATCCTTTTCAGGACTACCCGGATTTGGCCTTCACGGCCCAGTTGAAGCGCCAAAAGTGGAAAATTCAAGGGTGGTTGGGTGGCTAACAGCTTGGAGACCCGAACGAAAATTCGCAACAGACATGGCCGGATTTGCCGTCAACTTGGATTTGGTGTTGAAATCGGGGTAAGTAACTTTTAAAAAGTTGCTTTTTTTGATCAAAACCTCCCATGCCCTTTCAATCCACACATTTTTTTATCACAATTTTGGCTCATCCTTCCAATTTCAGCGCCACATTCAACCTGCATTGCGCTGGAACAATGCCGGAAGACTGTTTCCTCTCTCAACTCAACATCACCATGGAACAGCTGGAGCCTTTTGGCTACAACGAACCAAAAGAAATCCTGGTGTGGCACCGAAAAACGGCCGATTCCCAATTTGTCGACCACTCCTCGTTTGGCTACAATTTTGAGCAACGCCTCCCAAAGTCAAAGAAGTGCGATCAGTTCTATAATATTCATGATATGGACTACGAAACAGTGGAAAAAATTGCCAAGTCCGAGAATTTATAGTCTTCGCTTCTAGCGTCGAATATATAGCTGAGTTTTTCAGCCAGAACTTCTTGATATTAATTAATTTCTTTTTTATTTTTGCATCTGCATAGTAAGCGGAATGTCCAGAACGCGAGGGCGCACGGCATTCTGAACTTTTGTGACACAACCGGTCTCCGCGACTTTTTCAATTTTTTTCGAAGTGCGCTTGCTTTTTACCTCCATATCTCGCTAGCCGTTTGCGCTAGAAGGCTGAAACTTGGTATGGCAGTAGAATAAAAAGCTGGCTTTCAGAAAATATAAATATTGTAAGGAACCCCGCAGCATAAACTTTGATATACATCCAGCTCTGGAACTTCCATATGCCTTAAAAGAACAAATCTAGACTTGTGCCGAGTTTTATCAAAAACTTAGCTTCGCATTCTGAACATCTCTTGGATCATAGTTATCAGCCTGTCGGGAAAATAATGAGTACAATGTCGCTGCACCAACCGCGTCGCTGAATTGAAAAGCGATTTGATTTTTCCGCGACACAAGTCATTTTCTCAGCGGCGATGCGGCAGAGTGCTCATTATTTTCCCGACGGACTGATTGCGAACTGTAATTTATTTCTTCTTTGTTGACAACTCATAGCTTTAATTATACATAAACAACACATACATCATCAACTTGTTTGTTAAGGTTCTTTCCCCAATTATTTTTTGCTTCCTACACTTTTGAAGAATACGGTAGTACTCTGCTCAGATCGTGAATAACAAATGAACAAATGAAAATATGAACTTTTCGGACAATCGGCAATATTTATTTTTATAAATCAATCAAGTACAAATTTAGAACATCATAACTGAAATGGTGATAGCGGGGAGCTCTAGTTTGAGTTGGATCAGGAGTTTGGGTTTTATGGAAAACGCACAAGTTTTGTTGCATCATCACACTATTTTAGGGATGATTAATTTTGCGTTCCCAATGGTTTCAGTGACCAGAAAATCAAACGTTTCATTGATGGAGATGTTACACTTTACACTTCTTTGGGTGTGGTGAGTTCGAAAAAAACTGGGCTGATTTTTATGTATGCCCAGGGCAGTGCGCGAGGGGGAAGGAAACCAATCCCATTGCCCCGGATAGGACGGTAAAGGCAGAGAATGAAGTCAGTTAAACTAAAATTTTAACATTCCCTGTGGGACAAATTTCAGCAATAAGTTTTCGATTAGGGTACCGCACATCAAGCTGAGGAGTCTGGTGACCGGAATAGACCCTTCGCTATCGGTTTTTTACACTTCGTCCCAAAAATTCCCCATTTCTTCCCCGACAAAACCTTTTTTCGCGTCTTTTTTTGGCAAATTACCAACCCATTCACCGGGCTATTTTAGCTTATCTCAGTTTGACATGTAACCGCTACCCAAACGTGTCACAAATTCAAAAAAACTCAAGAATTTTAGAACTTTTGGTCTGGGCCCTGTAAGTGCCCCAGAAGAATTTGAAGACTGGAGAAGGCCATACAATACAAATGCCATAAAACAGCATACCCTAAAACCTCAGTTCAAGGCAAGAAAGATGTTTCCGTTAAAACGGGCATCCGTTGCGGTAGAACTCTCCCCCTTTTCCGAACCCTCCCCCAATCTGAACTCTCCCCCTTTTTGAACACTCCCCCTCATTTTGAAAATTGAAAAAAACGAGGTGTGACATGTTATACGATGAAAACTTTTTTTCAAACAGAAAAAAAATTATGTCTGACATCTTATACGTATAACATGTTACACCTTATACTTTTCAATTTAAAAAAAATCATCGTATAACATGTCACACCTAATTTTTTTAATTTTCAAAATGAGGGAGTGTTCAAAAAAGGGGAGAGTTCAGATTTTTTGGTGAAAATCAAAAAAAGGGGAGAGCACGTCAATCCAAAATATAGAAGAAAAAGTTTCCCGCGCCTTTGTGGTGATTCGTTCAAAACGAAATGTCACTCTCCGATAAAACGCATTTTCTTATCTTTCTTCTTCCTTTTCGAGAAAAAACAACTATTTTGGACGAGAAAAAGTGTCGATAATTTCGCGACATTTCGTCTCTCTTTTAAATCAATGAAAACGATACGAAGTTTCGAAACGGTTCAGGAAATGCGCTGGATCGACGTGGAGAGTTCCGCCTCTTTTGGAGGAGAGTTCAGAAAAGTGGGAGAGTTCAGGCTCAACCTCGAAAAACTATTACTCTGCGGTATTTTGAAAAATGAATTTGAAGAAGTAGATCTTCTTTGTGAGCCGACCTGCGCAAGGCAGGCCAGCAATGTTTCAAAAGCATGAAAGCACTTGTAACTTGGAGCAACTAACAGCGAATTTTGTGTTTTCTTCATTTCTCCACGAGCTGCAATCTATTAAATTTGTCTAATCAAGTCGAGGAAAGGATAGTCCAGATCGGAAAGCATATCAAAATTGTTATCTTATTTATTACATTCAACAAATAAATATGCTACTAGCATCATAATTTACATACAGACACAATAATATTATTAAATATATTATACATAACAATAAATAAACAACTTTCAAGTAAAGTAATAATTATGTTACGACTTTACTTCATTCTTGCTCTCCGACTCGACAGGACCGTACTCTTTTGCGATAGCTTCCGCTTGTTCATACGTCATTAAGTGGATTTGTTGGAACTTTTTGCAAATCTCGTCCTGCGGCAGCCGATACTCGGCCATGTAGCCCATCAAGTCGAAGGGCTGGTCGGGTGCCGGCGCTGTTTGTCGATGCCAAACAAGGATGGGCTTCTTGTCCGACTCCCAGCCGAAGGGCTCCAGGTCGGAGCGGCTGAGGTTCAGCTGTTTGAGGAAACACTGCTCCGGAAAATTGCCAGCGCATTTGAGGGACCAGGAGGCACTGAAAAGGCAGTAAAATATTGTAAAAGTTATATTTTTGATGACTACTAGTTTGTTCGCAAAGTCACTGGTGCAATTTTTTATTGTTTAACGGTTTTTTCCGAGCTAATCGCCCTCCGCATTTCGCGAACTCCCTTGGAAACAGGGATTGAATAGGTTGATGCAAAAGGAATTGCGGTTTTTTTAATTTATTTGTATTTTTTATAGAATAGCTCAATTCAAAAATGGAAAACGGTATACAGGGTGTTTCAAGAAATTCCCCGGAAAGCAATCGTCGATTTCTCGGCGCTCAGCCACGATATCCAAAAAATTTTTTTTGCAGTAGAAAGAAGGTTATGGGCGGTTTTTGCCTAAAAAGATTTTTTTCTACGCCGACGCGGAATGCAGTGTATTCGGCGAAGACTTTAGATCGCTTTTTTGGTCATCACATACATCTTAAACGCTTTTTTGTGGTTTCTGATGGCTGAAATGCGGATAATTTACTGATTTTTGTGCTTATCAAGCGTTCGGCAAAGGTATGGCAGCCGCTCGCCATATCTTAACTCAGATACGGACCAGAAATGGTCCAACACAATTTTTATTGTCTGGCAACTATTTTCTGCGGGTATCGTATACCCTCCAAAATTTTGTGGTCAAGCCTTGGCATATGTCTAGCCATCACGGAACCACTTTGTGCACCAGAAAACAACAAAAAAATTTTTGTTTAAATTTCTCTTTGCCCTGCTGTTTCAAACATTCGCGCGGTGGGCTCGACTTTATCGATATTGCAGCGACTGCATTGCACTGTGCAGTCGCTAAATGGGATCGCATAGCGTTATACCCTGCCTCCTGATCCATTGTGCAAAAAATCTGAAGATTTTCCGGATGCTGCAGTGTCACAGTAAAGCGTTTTAGATAAGTGTGATGGTCAAAAAAGCGGTCAAAAGTCTTCGCCGAATACACTGCATTCCGCGTCGGCGAAGAAAAAAAATCTTTTTAGGCAAAAAACCGCCCATAACCTTCTTTCTACTGCAAAAAAAATTTTTTGGATATCGTGGCTGAGCGCCGAGAAATCGACGATTGCTTTCCGGGGAATTTCTTGAAACACCCTGTATAGTAGTAAGTTTTAAGAGGATTTTTTCAGTATATATGCTATTCTTATAAAAGTTATCAAACGTTACCATAAGTTACCATGAAAGTAACCTAAACATGTTTGTATATTTTAAACCAATTTTTTTACATATTTTTTGCGGTTTTATCCATTTTTGAAAATATTTTGATAAAATACATTATATTCTATCAAAAAACAAAAAAAACCCATTTTTGGTAAAGCGTTAAAACGCTATCCCAAAAATTCAAATTTCAGCAAATTTTACAAATTGTGTCATATCTTTTTTTTAATAAGTCCAAAATAAAAAATTCTTTTTGCTTTCGATTAGTAACAACATTTTTAAGGCTTTCGTGAAAAAAAGACATCAAAATCTTGAATTTTATTTTTTGGTAAAACCTTTTTCCATTTTTGAATTGAGCTATCCTATAAAAAAATACAAATAAATTAAAAAAATCCGCGATTCCTTTTGCATCAATATATTTTTTCAGGGACTAAAATGCGACTGTTTCAACACTCGCGTCCAACTTTTAAAAAATCCATTAAATTTGCGGCAAACTTTCTACAAAAATAACTCGCTAAGCATTGCGTTTCTAACCAAAAATCGGTACACCACTCCCAGCTTACTTCGTACTCACAACCAAACCGAAATTGAGTGCAAATCCGGCCATGTCGGTTGCGAATTCTCTGTCCGGCAGGTAGGCGGAATGCCAGCCGACAACCTTTCCGTTCTCGACTTTGGGCGCCTCGACCAACGCATTTCCCGGGATTCCCACAGCCCACACTCCCATCACGTCGACTTTTCGAATGTATTGGTCGAATAGTCGGAGATCGTAGCCATTGTCATCATCGGCAAAGTAGATGACGTCTTTTTCATTGAATTTGTCTTTGTTCTGGCGGAGATAATCGAGGGCCAAGTTGCGTTGGGCCCAGCCTCGGCCTGAAAAATGATTTTTTTTGAAGGGGTGATTTATAAAATACCCCTGAGTTTTCTGCGAATTCAGTTGATTTGTTTTTTAGATTTTGCGGCTTTTTGTTTACAAACTGCTTGCAACCTGCCACGAGGCATTCCCGAAGCTTCACAGCGCCAGAACAAGGATTAGGTTGTTTGCTGAACCAAATAATCCCTCAAATTATTCAATTTTGGCCTGATTCTGTAGTTGAAAACCGCAGCGTCACGTGCAACACTCGTAAAGCCCGAAAAATCCCAAAACCCCGACTTACAGGGCAGTCCATGGTTGGTTGTGGCCAAATATGTGTGATTGATCCCAGTTCGAGCCAACAAATCGCTGACCAGGTCGGCCGTTTTGTCAGCGTCCTCTACCACCACCCAATAAAGATTTCCCACTTGCTTTAAGGTCTGGGCTAGCCTGAAAAAGGCCCGATCCTTAAATGCAGAGTGGTTTATGCACCTGCTCAACTATATATCTTCTTTTTACTTACATTGTAAGATCAGCCAACCTTTCCGGTCGTTGCTTCGTTGGAGTGATTACAATTATTGTCTTGTTGTCCGCCGGCGTCGAGTCCACCACAGAATCGGCGCGCTCAGTACGAATATAACGCATTAATGAAGGTGAACTTTGTGTTACTGATAACATTATGATCACGATCAGCGTTACAGCAGCCAGTTTTAGAAAAGCTCCTGTAATCAAATGCCAAATTAGAAAAATGAGAGAACGGAAAGTCGTATTTCTGCTTAGCATTTCAATTTCAACAAAAGGTAGACTTTTTGTCACAAGCTTTCTGTGCATTAGTCCTTCCGGAAAGTCGGCGGACTGATTTTTCGTGTTTGCACTGGAAAAAAAAGTAAGAGCGCGAGCAAACGTCGAAAAAAGCCTATTGCGCAGTGCAAAGACGATTTTTATTTTCTCACAGTGTGTATTGCCGATTGCACGATGCAAAAACAGACAAAATTCACTGCGCTTGAAGGGCCAGAAAGGGTATTTTTTGAACCGAAATTTTATCGGCGCGCCGCGGCGTAATCATGCAATTTCGTGGCGGGACCATCACGCAATAGATGTGCTCTTGATTTTTGGAATGGAGAATAAAATTCTCCTCCGGATTTTAGATGGGCCAGAGATATTGATATACGCGCTGAATTAGATGCGCGATTTCACGAATGCCATCGAGAATCTTGATATAAATGCAAAATTGATGTTATACTTGATGGAGGATTGGAAAATAAAAATTTTTATTTTTGCTTTCAGGTTCTATTTGAAATTTTATTAGGTCTAAAAGTATGACTCCGCCGTTTTTTTGTTTTGCATTTTTTACAGGTTGGAATACAATTTTGCAATTTCTGTTTATATGCCATGAAAGGACGTTGAAAACGCTATCTAATGATATACGCTTCGTACAGTGAGGCCTTATATAACGGTTTTTATAAAGCTTCAAAGATGACCAACCTCATCCTAAGAAGAGGTGACTTGCGGGAAACTTTATTTTGCACGTGTAATGTGAGGAAAAACGCCGAACGTTTACAGAAGCATGCGTTAGTCGTGCCTTGTGTGAAAAAATCAGTCGGGAATGGCTTCAACGGTTCAAAACCGGTGATTTTCAAACCCATTTAAAAAATTTGAAGATGGAGATTATTCGATAAAAACAATGCCCAGACGCAAAAAAAGGTTTGCCGGGAAGCTAAAGGTGACGCAGAAAGTAGCTTTAAAGGGTTTGCAACAAATGGGAAAGATGCAGGGATCAGGGAGCTGGGTACCATATTAATTGACCTAAAACAACATGCAAAATTCTGATGAAAAGACAGAAAAGAAATTCTTTTTGCCTCAATTCGTGACCGGGGGCAAACAATAAATGAATTTTGACAACAGTTACAGCTACCGGAATAAAAAAAATTTATTCTGTTTTTTGGTCATTTCAGACTCTATGTTGAAAAACTGGCCAAGGCACGCTAGAACACCTAAGGTTAAAGGTCCTACCCTACCCGCTATACTCTTCTGACACCGAACTTTCAGAATAACACTTGTTTCCACCGATGAAACCCGATCTGAGACAGCAGCGCTTCGCTGAATACAAAAATGTCCAAAATTGGCCCGATGACTGAGTCGCCTCAAAACAAAAAAACGTTTTCACTGATGGTATTCCAAAGTTGCTCAAATTGTGGGAAAATATCGTAGTTAGTAGTGGCAATAATAATTAAATAAGCTTTAATGTAAATTTTTTTTGTTTTGATTAAAATTGTCGAGCCAAAAAAACGGCGGAGTCATACTTTTAGACCTAATACTCTGCGAAAGGTCACAGAAGTTTAACATTTACTTTTCCTATTCGCTTTTTACTTCAATACTTTCTTTTTTAGCCATTTTTTTCTATTTCAGGTAGCTCTCAATATAAATTACCTTGAACGCAATCCGCGGAGCATAATTTATTATAAAGTGTTTATTACCACGATTAAATTGAAACAGAGAGAGGTTCGACTAACAGCCATGCGGAAAATCGTCCTCACTGAAAAGATCAAGCAGATATTTTTGCGCGAATCTTGTTGTTATCCATGACCCTGGTCTAGATGGAAAAATTCTCTTGCTGGTTTTAGATGGCCGATTGGCCAGAAATATTGCTTTTCATGTTCAACGAGATGTCCATGTAAGTTTATTTTTTGTCTTTCAGGCTTTTGTTTGACTGTTTTCTCTTAGAAAGGCCAGAAAATGGTCCTATGTATGTTTCTGCAGCAAAGCACACCTAATTACGGCCGCATTTTGACCACGAGGTTTGCAATTTAACTTAACGGAGCATCTTTCTCCTCAATGATCGTCTTTTTTCAGCATTTCTACGATTTTTACTTTTTTAGGTATCTAAAAGAAGGATTCGACAGTTAGAACCGATTGGGATCCGGGATCATGGAAGCGCATGACCGAGACATGATAGGCAGGTGAGAATTTTGTTTTTTTTTTTGTTTATTTTTTAGATAAAGCAATGCACAGCATTCCGAACTTTTTTCGCCGCCGATCGGTGTCCAAAAAAATGAAAAATTAAAAAGTGCACATTACATTTTCATATGTGTAAGGGTAGCCATAAGAGATACCGGCAAAAGCAAAAACTCTTTATGTAGAGTAATCAATTTCCTTTCAGAGTATGTAAGTTTTGTCTTCAGGTTGCCCGCTACCTTTGAGAAAATCGTCACTAAAAAAATGGAAATTTCGATTTTGAATGCCAAAAAAATGTACTTTCTTGGGGCCACCAAAAAAGATGTTGGAGTCTATCGTAAAGAGAATTTCAAGGGCTACAACATATTAAAATTTCAAGATTTTTGTGGGGGTTTGAGTCAAGTTAGAGTGAAAAAACCCCTGATTTTGGTCATTTTTTGCACTTTTTCTTGATTTGTTTGCACTTTTAGGGCAAAAATAAAAAACCATCCGTGGGCGATGGAATCTGTGTGTCATGTCGGATATGCATGCCAAACATGAAGCTTCGCCGACGCTCCGGAGTCGCTGAATATCCGTTTAAATACGAAACCTTAGGGTACTATTTCTGTCGTTTGTAATCGCTTTATGTGCTCCAAGATCCCTTTTGATCAAAAATATATTGTCTGTATACAGTGTATAACAACTTCTTATCATTTACTCACGATATATTTTTTTCATTTCGAAAATTGAATGGACGATGGACGAATACATGCATTCGACTTGATGCGGAAATTAGGGATATAAGTTCTAATTTGCTGCTTATTTCGGGAAATTTTTGCGAGATATTGATCTGGCACGTAATCCTGCTGCTTACGAAAACTTCTTTACAAACTACAACTCTCGAGAAGAACTAAAAAAATCAGACAGACCGGGGTCGTGGATAACATCAAGATTCGCGCTGAAATATCTCGTGATCTTTTGGAAGCCATCAGTGCGGACGATTTTCCGCCGTTAGTTGAATATCACTCTGTTTCAATTTAATCTTGGTAATAAACACTGTATTACGCTCTGCGGATGGTGTTTGAGCTTGTTAAAGCGCTTGACCCCTTGTCCAAGGAAAAATTTATATTGAGAGATACCTGAAATTGAAAAAAAACTGGCTAAAACAGAAAGTATTGAAGTGAATACCGAATAGAAAAAGTAAATGTTAAACTTTTATGACCTTTCGGAGCCTAAAATTTCAAATAAGACCTGAAAGACAAAAAAAATGTTATTTTCCAATTCTCCATCAAGTACAACGTCAATTTGGACTTATATCAGGATTCTCGATGGCATTCCTGAAACTGCGCATCTAATTCAGCACGTAAATCAATGTTTCTGGGCCAATTGGCCATTTAAAATCCGCAGGAGAATTTTATTTTCCATTCCAAAAATTGAGAGCACGTCTATTGCGTGATGGTCCCACCGCGAAATTGCCTGATTACGCCGGTAAAATTTCGGTTCAAAAAATATCTTTCCTGGTCCTTTCAGCGCAGTGAATTTTGCCTGTTTTTGCATCGTGTAATCGTCTGTCACACCCACGGAATTCGTGGCGACACAGTTGAGGAAACCTCGCCGGACTGAAATCGGCAATACGCACTGGGAGGGACAAAACTTTCCAAAAATCAGTCCGGCGACTTTCCGAGAGGACTGATAAAATGCACAGAAAGCTTGCGACAAAAAAGTCTACGCACTTTAAAAAAACTGCACCACTTTCGGCTTACCTATGCCATCTCCTTTCCTGAAGCAGTCCATGACTTGTGAAAAATCCAAGGATCGCTGTAAGTAGCCCACTCTTTGACACGTTCAAAAACAATTCTGTGGCCTTCTAAAAAGGTTTAAAAATATATTCCTCCCCTGTTAAGCTGAACGTCCGACCCGCTAAATAACCCCGCAAACGGTTTGAAATTTGGTATGCAAATCCGTTCCGCGTATTTTTTACACTTGACCGGAGGGGTTTTTCGGGGGGAACTCGGGTTTTTTGGGTCTATTAAAATTCAAGATTTGAAAGGGATTGAAGCACGACAGGAAGGCTGATCGCGATCGATTGGTGCTTGTACCGAGAAGCCCAATTTTTCGAATTTTTCGACCCCAAAAGAGCGTGGTAAAATTGCATCAGAAAACAGATTAGGGCGTAGCGCAACTCCGGAGGTCGTAGCAGTAATGGAGGGCGGACGAAAATGAGTTTCTTTTAACATAGACTCCGATTCCGGGAAGTTGAACAACTGAAAACTTTTTTTGCATGCTTTGTTTCAAACTTAAAAATTCTTTTACAAGATGAGAGGCTGCAGGAAGCAAGATTTGCGGCTGAAAAATACAAAATAGGCCATTGTCATCATCGGCAAGATAGATGACGACGTTTTGATTGAATTTTTCTTTCTCGGAGCAAGTTGACGGCCAAAGATTTTCAGGACCAGTTTAGGCCTGAAAAAGTTATTTTGAGGTGTTGGTTGTACTGGTTGTAATATACGAATCTATTGGTGGTGGATTTCATAGAAAAAATTGGGGTTTTTTTGACTACAAACTCCAAACTCGTTTGGGGGAAACGCAAATCAGACCTCAAAAAAGTTCCTTTGAGAAGATGATTTGTAAAATACAAAAAAAAATTTTTTTCCGGGATCTGACACACATCTCAAGGATCTTACAAAAACCGTGAAGGAAAGTCAGAGCTG